AATTAGTGTTGAAAATCCGGATCTTGCTCCATATGCTGAATGCAGAAGATCTCTACACTGGTTTCAGGCTAATGAACGCCTGTCTAGCTTTTCCGATCCTGGCTGGCTTTGACGTCCTCATCTGTGCTTGTGCCGCCACCTGTAGTTGAAACGATGCTGCCTGGGAATCTGCGTGAAAGACACCAGTTCCTTTAGGTTTGTTTCTCCCGTTGATGGTGATTGCAGCTTGTTGTTATTGTTGTTGTTGGCTGGGTATCTTCACCATCTCTGTCTCCTCTACGTTCACTTGAAGTCCTGTCTCCCTTCGCTGCCTTGCCTCTTCTACTAACTTGTTAGTTTTCGCATGTAGATCTTCGAGTTTGTACGACAAGACATTAGACATAAATCATCATCGGTGGCAAGATCCAAATCTTCTAGGTTCTTTTCCGCGGTCCAGCGTATCCCCCTCTTCTCGCTTTTCACTGTTTGTTGCATGATCCTGTCCACTACAATCAGGAATATCATGAGTGGTAGTAGGCGGCAGCCTTGTTTTACTCCTGTCTTCACTTCAAAAGCATAACTGAGCTTCCCATTGTGAATATACGACTGCATGATTTTGATTTATCGGGTTACTGTCTTGGGTTGTTCTGTAAGTATGGCTTAAACAGTCAACTGGCATCTTTATCATTCACACAACAGGTTTTCCTTCGGCACAGTATATGAGCACGTGATGAGTGAGCCATGTCGGCACCTACAGTCATCTGATTCGTGACCATGTACCACTTAGCTGTTACTAATTTTTAGACTCATGTGTTACATTACACTAGTTTCGCATCGGGCATCTCAAATACTTATGAAGTCAAGTATACGCTATTTCAAGATGAATGCTACCAACCACATCAATAGTGTAGGGCGTACTATACCTGACAGCATACTAACGAGTAGAACGGAATTTGAACCTGTGTTACTTGCTGGAATTTCAGCATTTTGACGAATTACAACCATTAATAAACAACTCTGAATTATGTGACTGGCGGATAAATTTCAGTCGGCAATATCTAATTGTCCGAAATAAAATACTTGGGATGTTAGGTTCTTAGTGGTTTGACTATCGGCAAATATATTCTGGAACACTTGCTTTTTCAAACAGATATTTTGTACTTTGCTTTGCAATCTTAACTTTAGGGAAGCCATCTGAGAGTTCCATTCGATAGCCTCACGTTAACCGGATACCTTTAAGGTGCATCGTACTCACTCATCAATCTTATTATTACTAGTTTTCTCTTCCGCTCTGCATATTTCACCTAATGCCCAGGCAGTGTGTGCCTTCCTTCAAATACTTCTGTTGGTTGTCGCTCTTGTATTACTACATACATCTTTGCAAACAAGTATCTAACTTAATAATAACCTGTTGATTTGGGCTTTTGGTGGTTTTCTATTCCTAGACCGTTTTGTCTTACCTTTAACGTGCTTTAAAGGGTCAGTCATCCTAATTCGACAGCTATGCGCATGGTGTTTTACACATGTCTCGTCCTGCTGCATGCCGAGACAAAATCGAAAGGAAACCTAGTTACCACATGTGCGCATGTATTAACCACACCTATTGTGTCAGGGCCTATGTTACCACTTGATAGGCTAAACCATGGTATGTGGAGCAAAGTTAAAAACCTATTACTCTAGTTAAGAGTCGAATACCAACATGAACTAGCCTTAGTTACACTACACAACTGGTTCATGGTACTTGAGGCTGGGAAACATGAAGTTTATGGGTGTCTAGTCACATATATATTCACAGCGTTACGTAAGGTGCAACTGCAGAATAGAAAGCTTCGTGGTTGTTTTGAATCCTGGTCAAGAAGATTGATCGATGGCATTAGCTGATACTAGTTGAGATGCCATACAAGTATACCTATTCACCACCAATTACAATAGTGAGTGGATCCGGGCTAAGTTTAAAACTTAAAGGTGACACGATCAAAACATGATTACAGTTCTGGGAGTGACTAGGATACGAGGATACCTATAAAATGTTTCGAATCAATAGTTGGAAACTGAGTTGTGTGGCTCAGTCGCAGCTATACACCGTATCTTTTCCATAGTAGCACATCTCTTGGTTTCTATGTTGTGCGGCGTTTCTGTTTAGAATGTATGTCTCTGCAGCAACACAGCAGAAAAAGTACACTTTTTCGAATAATTCAAGAGATGATTGTTAGTTTTTGCCCATGAATTAAAAGGTCCCAATAATTTAATATCTATCACGGAACAAAAGGAACCAGTGGTTGGAGACCCTAGGTGATATAGCTCAGAACCGAAGTCAGTGGCGCAGATGTATACACACATTATCCTCATCTTAACAACGCTATACCGAATCTCACCATTTTGTCACTCCTCTTTCCTTTCTTCTCGTACTTTTTATTTCTTTTGACTGCATTCACTTATCTTCATCCTCCGCCTCACTACCTTTTTACTTGATGTGCTGATATGAGGTGTGGCAACTCGGACCGTTACGCAGTAATACCTGGTCCTATGTTGATAATGATGATGATGTTTTAGTAGTTTACATGGAATTAGGTTAATTGTGAAGGTTGATTATCACTTCAAAATGCTCTTTGGTGTATCATGGTTTGTGATAGTTGATATTTGGCTGGATGTTCTAAGGCACTGCTTCAGTCTTTGATTTAGAGTCACTTCCGCCTGACCGTCAAGCAATATCATGTTTACATTCTTATGGTCTCCAGCGTCTAAAGTAGGTTAATATGCCATTCGTTCCTACCTCTCCTCATAGTTCATGTAGTCAATGTGATGGGATCAGTTTTCCATCACACTTTTTCTTCATCGTAGAACCTAGCACAGAAGTGCATCAATTCAGGTTGTCACACCACAGCAGCATGCAAAACAAGCAGATGGGAAAAGAGTGGCACTACAATAGTCAAAATTTATAAAATGAGACGGGATTAATAAATGAAGGTTAATAAAAATATTCCAGATTTCGAAGTCATGAATACATTTGCTCCGCTGTTACCTATTGTCTGCCATATCATGAAAAGTCTCCAACCTATTATCTGGAAGACCTTAGACACCTCGTTACATGGTTCAAACTAACTGCCAGAGACTTCGTTGACTGATGCCACATCTTAGTCTGACTACCCTTGGTGCCTGACCGAATTCTACTTCGTGGGAGGGGAGGGGGGCTGTGGCTTGGCATGCGCAACACAAGCCCAAGTCACTTCGATCGATGGTTTACAACCTCATCAACGGACCTGCCTTCCCTACCTACTTCTCTACTCCTAACCTCGACACTCGTCACTCTGGTCCCACTGCATGCGCGCAATCCAGCGAAAGCACGTGATCAAAAGCCTGTAACCCCATTATGTCTTCTGCCTCTAGCAGGCATTGTCTCTGCCATATTGTAAGAGCGAACTGTTGCACATTATAATCATGTTTTACTAGGAAGTCGGATGTTCCTCCGGCACCAGGAGCGACTTGTCAGATGCCAAATGGGTCTTTTGTATAGTTTTAACACTCCCTACCTCCTAAGGTAGACCTTCTTTGACCATCACTCTGGTGAGAGGCACTGAAAACTCACTCTACTATTTCGAAAACTACCCCTAAGTGAGGACAGTAAGACCTGTGACCCACTGTTCTATCTACTCAACTTTGTACCATTGGGTTACAGGTTCAAACACTGTTCGACTCACAGAGACCTGGACAGCTAGGTAACATTACTAACCCTCATTGTGTATTATGTGAACTTACCCGTCTCTTGTCTCTTCGGCTGCCGAAAGGAAATCTGAAAGTAATGACTTAGTTGAACGCATCTTATGAAGCTACTTCCCTGATCATTCTGTTTGACTTTTCTTTGTTTCGCTTTGTGTTTACGCCACATTACTTATAAGACGTGTTTTACAGTGCCTATGTTGTGCCAAGTTTGTTTTCTCAGTGGATGAATATCAGAAGAAAAATCAACCTGGCAATGTAACAAAACTGAAAAGCAATATTTCTGACTGGATTTTCAGTAATTGATAACTCTACTGTTTTGTTATATTGAACAAGACTTTCCAGTACGCCAATTATTGAGTTAGTCAAGATAATCTACTTCCTTACGAGTGAATTAGATATGGATATGATTTTGATTCGTTTACAATTTTTCCAAACTGCTTTAAAACACTTGAAGTAACCAAATAAATTCTAAAGAGTAGTATCGATTTTCTGGTAATAAAAATCACACAAGAGCAGTAAGTTAGTCGGATGAATTTATAGTCAGAATAATCCATTCTCACGTCTAGCTAGTCTCAATTCGTTATTGGCTTTTATACTAGGATTAAGCGTCACCTAATATCTAGTGGCTTGTAATACTACTAGGTACCCGGAGCCAAAGTAGGTCAAGCAGAATTTGAACTCATAACTCGCCGTTTGGAAGATGAGTACCCAACATACGAGTAAACTTGACCAATGTGGTTGGTTGTAATTCTATTAGTCTTTATTAGAATTGTCACGTAATAAAACGGTACTGTTTACTGGATAACGTTTCGAAAATAATTTATTGTCAAAATTCATATCACCCGGTATGAAAATGGGACGAGTACTTAAGTCATTCAACCACAGCTTGATGTACCAGAGTGCGAAAATGTTAACTTAAGGTTAGATATTTGATACATGCAAGTGGTACTCATGTATTCCACTCTACTGAACTTATTTCTGTTTAAGACATCCTAATACTTTCCTGGGCATGTTGCACGGTGATTTGTGCTAAGTTCTGGATTCTGATCCAGTAATGCTTTACTCACTTTAGAATCTGGAGGTCCTGGATTCATCCCACTAAAGAGTCTAGTACTAGTACCGAGCCAGAACAAAACACTTGTCCGCAAGCTGTTATATCAATCCAAGGTAGAAACGGTTTGCAAATCTCGTATTTGTCATAACGAGTCATTCTCATTCTTTTGCTTTTTAGACGGGTCGTAAAATCTCAGTGGCTGTGATTTGGTTTTTGGTCCTTTATTTGTGATCATATTCTCAAAGCAATGGATACTAGCAGTATGGTCATTTCAAAGGAATCTGTAAAGCTGTCTGATGAGATGTTGCATCATAAATGTCCTGTCTGTCCTCATTCCTCAACATCTCAGGCTGGGTTAATGTGTCATTTAACTACAAAACATAATGAGCGTCTAGTTGCCGTATGCAAGATTTGTCAGCAGATTTTCACATCCGATGCCATAGGCCCTCATGTGTTGGTGTGCAAGGGGAGCTATTCTTGTCCTTATTGTCGTGCAACATTCGCACTACCTTCTTACTTACAGCGCCATATCTCTCGGCGTCATAAAATATCTGAACGCCCAAACTGCGAAGTATGTAGGAAGAACTTCTCGTCAACTAACGCTTTAGCTGTACACAAGCGACTGCACGAAGGCAAGTTTCTTGGTTTATTTCCGTTACCATTTACAGGTCGTTTTCCTTACACCTGTCGACTTTGTTCTGCTAATTTTGCTCAGAAGAATCATCTGAAGCTACATTTGGACTCTCATCATGCTTACGTTGAATTGGATGCAGCACCGAAACCTTTCGTGTGCAAAACATGTGGCCGGGGATTTTTGTTTACCGTTAGCATACAGCAACATCGACTGCAACATTGCAAAACTTATTCTCAGAGTATGTTAATTTTTCTTATTCTTATTCTTAATTAGAGTTATTACCATGCAAAGTTTGTACCAAAACCTTCACCCATCGAAGTGAATTGCAGCGTCATAGTGCCATTCATTCTAAGTGTTCATCGTACCAGTGCTCATTTTGTCCTCGCAGTTTTACGCGTGCTAATCTGCTCAGGAGCCATATCTTGTTGCATACCGACCCAAGCCTTTTAACATGTTGTTATTGTTCTCGAACTTACGCTTCTCGCTCTTATCTGCTACAACATATTGAGAGGCACGAACAAAAAATGCAGGCACCTTCGATTTGTAGTTTGAGCACAACTTCCATATCAGAGTTGGAAATGGGTAGCCTTGACGACTGTGAAGCGAGTGTTCCGAAGGAGATTAGTGAGGTGAGTTGATTTTCTTTTTACAGCTGATATTTGATGTAGGTGTGGGAAGAACTAGCGTTCACAGACTTCGGTAGCAATGGAATCGTGTCGCCAGATGTCAGTTTCCTACATACATTATTGTACGGACAAAATAGGAGTTAATCTCATATTTATTGAGAACAGGTAATCAGGTTGTTACTGATATTTAAACTCTCATCTATGATCTAGTTTACTGGTCTTCCTTAGTTCGGTATTTCTGCGGAATTTTAAAAACTTGGTTTGACTCATCGAAATAAGCGGACTGGTTTGTGTTTGCTGGATTTTCCTTTGCGTATAAGCACACATTTCCCACCGGCGGTTTACAAGACACTGCATTTGTAGCTTTACAAGTCTTTCGGGGATGACTTGTCTTTCCGATTTTTAATAGTCGTTTTGGCATTTCTTATTCGTACCTAATCCTGTTATAAAGTTTGCTTAAGCTTGTCGTTATTGTAATTGCTGCATCATTTATAGCTTCGTAAATCAATTGCACATGCATTTATTTATTAGTTCTAATTCCTTTCTCTTTTAATTTTAACGCTTGTGATAGTTACTGTATTTACGAATTATTAGTAGACGCTTCAACAAATATTGAGAGTTGTAGATTTTTGCTTTTATCTTATCTGTTAACTATGTATGTTCATAAAACCTCAATCCGGTTCATCTTGTCTTTAGACCTTGTGTCTTTCTGGGAATTTGGAATAATGGTTGTTTTTATGCGATCCGCAGCTCTTTCCAACTTTCTCATTGATGAAAAGATTAGTGATACATTTTCGTCTGTTGTTCTACATCGATGTTATGCCATCTATATTTTTTAAGGATCCTACCGGAATTGCGTATTATCAGAGCATAAACCGCCTGGCTGATATCCTTTAGTTTTATATGTACTCCTCTTTTTTTATTTTATACAGTACTGTTGTGTTAATGTGTGCATTTTTCATCGTTTTCGAAATAAAAAAAACTTTTACAATATGCAGAATTCAGTCTTATTGATACATTATGGTTTCCAACTTAATCGAAGGTTTTTATATCTGCTTGTCTTCTTACAAGCTTTGATGTCATGTGTGTTTCTGATGATCTCAGAAACGAAATGGTTCACATAAAGTCGACAATCTAGACACAATCAACGATTGAAAGCAACTGATCCTTTTGATAAGTTTAAGCAGCGTAATGAGACGAAGATTATCTGAAACATGGTGGTGTATTACCGCTATACATTTCGAACAAACTGATCACACATGGACTTGTCGAACTAATTGTATGAAATTTACGAAAAGCGTCAATTAAGAAAAGAAAGAGCAGGTTTGTGTTGTGACATGGAATTTGTCTTCTCTACAACGATGATCTAGGCTGCATAATACATTTTACTGACGGCTGGTCTATGCTTTTTCCTCGCAACAAAGCTAAGTGGACCACCTTTAAGTGGTAATGAGATGTAGACATTTTTCTTCTTCCTTTGTGTCATCGGTGCAGATGCGGTTTGTCCTGCTGAATAAGCACCTAATTAAACCGCGTTTACACTGGACAATAGCAATGGAAATGAAGGTATTTCACTGTCCATATAAGCTTCCTACAATCAACGGTAGTTATTTATCGTTTGTTGCATCGGCATATTGACTCCCTAGGCGGATGCCATGATATTACTTTGAACTTCATTCCTACCATCAGCCACCACTAAATAGGTACGTCCAAATGAAGTTTGAGGAAATATTGAAGCACTCATTCAAGAAACTTACTTGCATTCAATCGATATGAACAAGGGATCTGGTAAAACTATCCACCAGTTCAGATAGCCACATCTGAAATCAGCACGAGGCAACACGAATAAGAAAAGGGGGACAAATAACAATGAGAAAAATGAAGAATATAGGGGTGAAGATGAAGAAATGTGTTATGACGATTGGGATAAAAATAGTATGTCGGTGTAGTTGAGTCATGCAAACTAGTCTCCAACCATTGGTTTCAACTGTCTAGTAGACCCATACACGACTCAAAATAAAAGTCTAAAACTTCATGGGCTGATGCTAAGTTTTATTCTGGCCACCTCTGATGTTTTTCGAGCCCAAGCTTAATTCAGCTAATAATGCACTACGGGTTAAACGGTGACTGCCTTGCGCAACACGTACCGACCACATGGGTCGATGACAGTTTACGACGTCATTCTCGTACCTAAAACTCGATGCCCTACTTCAACGTTACTGATATGGTGGTCCCACGATGCACACTCAATGCTTTAAAGGTAAGGATCTTCGACCTCTCTTAACCACGTTTCATAACAATAGTAGGACGGGGTAGAATGCTGCGCACGGCCCTCAACGTTAAGAAATGCAGTATCGGGTGCCGATAAGTATGCGTTTTTCCGAGAAATGATCTACACATCCACAGTCAGATCCGAAAGCTGCCTGGCTTACTGTTTTTAAGTTCGTCTACATATGAAGTGTTCTATAGTTTTGTTGAAAGACTGATACCGTTTTTTGTGACTACTGTTGAGTTGAGGTCGATGTACGCCATGTCAGATATTTTCTAAAACTAGTGCTGACCAGAAATAGGTGGTTGTCTAGACAGTTGTAGTGGGTCGTCGTTTGGCTATTATGACCACTTCGAAACCCTACTACTTGGTTTAGCTTTGCTGCTCGCACAGTTGAAATCACCTACGATGAAAGTCACATTTGGCTTTCAGTAAGCTGCTAGATGTTTTTGAATAGAACTCACCGTTCACTCTATCTGATCTACAGATTAGTTTCGCAATTAGGGACAACGGCACTTATCACCAATACTTTGAGTAGCTATTATATCACTGGGTAACCCATCTGCAGTGTGCTTGGCACTATACCTATTACCTGGGAAACTAAGGAGACCAACCGGCTTACTTCCAGATAATCGAAGGATGGATTTCGCGGACTCATCCCTGAAGTCTAATAATGCCAAGAGGATAGTCACATTTGGATCGCCCCAGTGAGTCTCACAGACAACGTTCATGGCCCGCGATGTTAAAGTTCTGACTGGAGTCGATGAAGGGTGAGAACATTGGAAGTTTCAACACGTAGTTCGGAGCGTCATGTCAAGAAATCAGGGCTCTTATTCCGAAAAATTGAGTAATTATCAAGAACAGAAGAGGATGAAGAAATCAAATGGGATATCAAATTGTTAACATTATGAAGATGTGGAAGGCTGATAGTAACTTACAGCTTCCCACATCGTGAGACTTTACTTCTTGAGGTAGCTAAAAAAGGAACGGCATACATAAGGATGGTATTCATGACCTGGATGCGTGGCCACAGAGTCTGGTTACAAATGACGTTTTTACTGCGATTTCAGTTTGGAATTCGTTATGACATATCCGGACTAAGCGAACCCATACCACCAGGATTGGAAGAGAAAAACATGCTACACATAAGGCTGATGTTTTCTAGTCCCTTTGCGTCCAGTAGGAGGGGCAGCACACAGTCGTGGTTAACCATGTGGAGCATCTTACTGCCGTCGCACTCTCGGATCGCCATCATAGTGTCACTTGCTGCTTCAGTTTTTGCCATTATCCAGCGAAACCTTTACACATGGTAGTGTAGAAAACAACAAGATGGAGACGAAGTGTTGTACACTTTCCACTAAGACAATAATGTGCTTCATCTCCTCTTCTGCTTCTATCTCGATTTGCTCTTAATACGCCCACATTGCCTCTTGCGTTCCGCTGGGCAGAATCTTCACCCATTGCTGGTAATTCCCTATGATTCCTGCCGCCCTCTCAACATATACTACTTACATCCAATCTGATCAGGAACGCCCACTACAGTAGGACAATCGTTCCCATCGGTATAGTTCGTTGAGTCAAGTTGATACGCAAGCCGAACCACCGTATAAATCAACCCGCTACACGTTTGTGTACTAGGCCATGAAGCACACTTGTAATGATGGGGCTTGTGGTAAGACCTACACCCAAGCCGAGGTGGATGAGCTTTGAACCCACCACTGTTTGCTCGAAAGTCGGGTTCCCAAGGCAATGAACCACATCTCCACGTAAAGATGGCGGTCGTCTGTCGGAAATCTGTACATCACAGCATTACCCAGTAGGCTACAACTACCTCTTGCCAAGCGGGTATAAGCTGTTACTTCATTTTTCGTTGTTTGTCTTGCTAGCCTAAACGAACCGGTTTATGGTGACATATGAGCAGAAAGGGTAGCACTGATGCTTGAGGCGACGGGTGCCAGTTCCATCTGCATCACTGGCTGGTGCAGATAAATCTAGCTGATAGATTCCTAATAGGACGAAGTCTATTCATGGACTCCACAGTCAGCCATTAACTAAACAATATCAGAAAATTTGACGGTCACCACAGTTCCTTCGTAGAGTTCCTACGGAAGAGCTACATGTTCCATTCGTACTTACCAGCTAATATTGAGTTAGCTCTATTATGGTAGCATGAATGGTATTCTTATGCTGCTGTCTCAAGTAGTCTTGGTGAGGTACGATCTCATTACTCGGTTGTTTACTACTGTAGATAGAAGAAAAATATTTCTCATACTGATGCATTTTGTAACGGAAGAAGCAGAATCTTAGTTTTATTCTTTAATTTCCCACTCTCCATCATTCCTTTTTGCTGGAAATAGATCTATATGCTTCTAAACATTTCAGTGAGTTTAGAGGGATAGACACTTTGCCTAGATGGTAAAGACAACTGGAAGTATTTTATGCTTTTGTTTGGTAGCTTCAAGAATTCCAAGGAAACTAGTTCCCCAAGCTTCTGCAATATGCATCTTCCCTACTCATGCCTTTGAAACTATTCGATATGGTTTGGCATCCAAGTGACTATATGTCAGAGTTTAATCAAGAGTTGGTTGTCACTGACGTCCACAAGTCAACAGTTTGACACAGAATAGTAATCTGTTACGCTTTATAGTAAACCTAAGAACAAAAATGATCCCGCTGTTGATGGTTGACTCAATAGGTATGACTTCCAAAATAACTGTTTCACTCGGTATCTGACCTAATTGTCTACCGATTCAGTGATTACGATGTAATTACGGGTAAATTCAATTCCTTTTTTGGATGTGTCTTAGTTTGGAATTTTCCTCTAGAGGTTGGTGGTGCTTTTTCAGAAAGACTGCTGTTGACCGGTTGAAATCTGTTAGCCTAAATCTTGTGGAACACTTAAATGAATTCGTGAGCTTACAGGAACTTGAGGAGGTAAGACTGAGCACATTTAAAACCACATCTCATAAACATACTAATATGGAATTCTATAAAAGCACCTGGCTTTTTCCACGAGTTAATCTGTTCCTGATGTTTAGACTTGAAGAATGACTCAGGCTACATTGGTGCCTATATCCGTAGAAATATACTGACCAACAGTTTTTAACTATAAACAAAGGGACCTTTAATGAATATTAGTGATCTAACAGTAGCCAATTTTATTTAAGCTGGAATCTTATGACCTCTTTTCGAAACCTCCCAAAGCTAACTCCCTACACGTGAGAATAGTAGCTTTTTAGCATATGATTCAGTGGAATTTCAAAAATACAAACTTCCATTTAATAAAGATTTGATTCCCACCAAAAACAACCCTCAGCACCATATACCATTCCGTTTCAGTAACAGTCTAGTTTCCTATTGGTATCGTAAGAGTGAATGACCTAGACAAGATTTGTGTTGGTCGTAATTATCTCTTATGTAGTCATATTTTATAATTCCACCAACGGACTGTAGTACTACCCTTTACTCAATGAGTATGAATGACCCCTGTACATGGTTGTCATCTCTGGTGCATAAAATTAATTTTCTATGAACAATTGTTTAAGCGCCAATTAGGTTGCATTACGTACAAAGTCAACGATAAGTAACAGGGGGAAGTAATATTAACTTTTTATTCAGGAAGCCATTTGCATTCCATTTGTCCTCAGACTGGTAGCTTAAATCTATTTTTCGCAACTTAAGTGCCATTAATCTCGTGTTTACCTGTTCCAGAACACTGGAATTTAATGACGTTGCCAGTCTGAACTAAAAGCTTTTACTGGAAACCGTGAATTGACTGGATTTTATTGCAGATGGAAGGATGTAAAGGAATTTGCATTAAAATACATAGATTCTAAGATGCCATAGGTCGCAAAGTCACAGGATGAAACAGCCACCAAAGGCAGAAAGGCATAAAAGTGAACGGGGAGAAAGATATTAATGAAGAGGGAACCAACTTGTAATAAGATGGTAACAAGTGGATGAATCTGAAAAGTTGCAAGGCTTGTGAAAAAACTTTCAGGAAACTGCATCCTGCCAGCAAGCATCTTCACCTTACAAGATTATATTGCATTCATACTCTAGCTCAACTAAAAGTAAACTATTTCTGTTTTGCTGTCACAAATAACATAAAATTTCCTTGAAATTGTAGTTGTGCGGAAAAGCGAACCTAGGGGTTATTGGAATTCATGCCAACTTATTGCTCGATTTCAGAGAACTTAATAAATGAAATCTTTACATAGTTTTGTTTATTACTATTAAGTAGCACACTGTATTGCGAACAACCTTTTATTTGGGAGTAAGGTGAATAAAAGTGCTATTGTTGAGCAGAAATATACTTTTTCCAGCACAGTTTGTTTAAGCAACAGATCAGCAGAAAATGAAGTGAAGAATTCCCTTCAATAAAAATATGACTGCTTACTATAAAAAGTAGAAAGAAGCAGTCTGGTTATTAAAAAAAGCTCTGAATCCGTCGTTTTTGCAAAACCAAATTAGGCTGCAACCTAATTTGTTAGTCCAGAAGTGTTGAAGGTTGGGGGACACGTGCATATTAAGTGTAGATCACCGTACGTATCGTCTAGTCGACTTACAGTTGGCCATATTTTCGAAAGTTTGTTTGAGGAACCGTTCTTCATATTCTGCCATGGGGCTGGAAATGCTGCCTCTTGACGTGTATATGGTCTATCCCATTTCGAATCGATGACTACCTACAATGTTAAAAAAGATGAAAAGAGCAAAGGTTTGAAAGTTTTCAGTTGACATTTAAGTTCACTACTGTGAACTAAGCAATTTTTATGGTATAGGCGTTGCACAGTACCAAGAATTAATCCAAATTATATCACAAAGTATTCAGGTATAGTGCGTATGTAGCGAATTTAGAAGCAGTTTATCCAGTATATGACATAATTTCCAAGTGAATTTTCCCTTGAGTTGTGATGGCTATTTAAGTAACAATTGAACATTACATATAGCGAAAGAGAGAGTATTACTTACTGGATAACGTTTCGAACAGAATCCATTATCCATATTCACACTACATTCAACAAACAAATTAACATGGGATTGTGATAGTAACGTTCTAAGTTTTTCATAGTTGTGACCTTTATTCACTTGAGGAATCCATCGATTAGATAAGCACAGGTTACATCTAAGTGAATCAGGGTTAACATGTTTCAGGGCGTAGCCATTTGGACTGCGTAAGTGGGAAATACAGCTGTTATCCATGCTTTTCACGTACCAGCTATCAGTTCTATATGGGATCGGTCAAGACCGTTAACAATGTGTTTGTCAAGCATAGCCACTTGGTAAAGATACAACAAGTGTAAACATACACTTTTCAACATCCTACAAACTTTATTTGCTAATAAAGGTTTTCAACTCGCAAGGTAGAGAAAAGATTTGTTCAAAATATCCAATAATTAATTTTTGAATACAGTTTTTAGAAAAGAATCAAGTTCAGTGGTAATTTTTTGAGTATATGCAGCAGGTACTGATAGTTAAGGCAAATTTTTCCTTAAACAATCAGATCCCTTAACGTTTATCGTCACGCTTTCTAGAACACCACGTGTAGTCTGATAAAAACTTCAAACCAATATCTGATTTGCTACAGCCTAAAACAGTAGAAAAGCTGAAAACACTTCGCAAATGGAAAGTCTCAAGGAATTCTTATCATTCTTGTTTATGACTGAATGATGAACTGTAGGCATTCTTATTTCAACGAACAAATTAATCTAAGACTACAAGGTGAAGTTTCAGTTGAAGAAGGAGCTTATCGAATGCTTTTTAAAACGTTAAACCTTTCAGTGAACAATTGACGAATGAATAAAGATTCCCTTTTAATGTTTACTTACTTCCATTGTATGTGGAGCCATTTTTAATGGATTACATTTTAAATCCCATTCGCCTATGACCACTTTGTCGATCTCTTTTCTAATTAGTATAAGTGCATCACATAAACGATCGCATTCAACTCTTGATTCACTTTCAGTAGGCTCAATCATTAAACTTGAGGCCACAGGCCACGACATAGTTGGGCTATGAAAACCTGTATGTGTATATTAAAATGGGACATTAGTGATGCACAAAGGTTAGGTTACGCATTCCAATTACTTACTTCTTAATTAAATGGGACACTCATAAAGTTACTCATTACTTCAAACTTTATTCACCTTTATAACTGGTAGTGGAATCCAGGACACGGGTTTCATCCTATTCGGCGTTTGAAGCGATAAGTACTGGGTTCGAGTCTCAGTGGGAACAACGTCACTCCCTGAAGTCCGGGTAAGTTCAGCTGACGAGTTCCAAATATGATGAAACGTGTGTCCTTGATTCCACTGCTAATCACCAAGATTAAAATCCTGCAGTGTTGAAGCATCCTCATAAGAGCCCATCTTCCAACAGAGGTCAAGCAATTCGACCCTGCATATCAACGTGAAATTACAAGTATCAAATGACTACTTCAAATTCTGTTCTATTTCTATATTTCCCATGGTTTTATGGTGCTACTATGTAAATCAATGTTCAGTGAGAGAAAGTCAACCACACTGGTGAATACATATAATAATCATTTAATTTTCAGGAAGAAATACAAAATTGTTTGTTACGTCTTAAAATTTAAATTACCAGTAGCAATGAACAGTGAAAAAATGATCGTGAACTGTGATGAATACGGAAAATGTTTTAAAATATCACGCTACTTTATAAGCAACTAAGTAGTCTCCAGATTACTCTGTTTCCATATTACTTTGTGGGTGTTTCGAAACTTAAGTTGTACCAACGTTACACAATCTTCATACCATCCGATACTGCTTTAAGTTAAACAATTCACTTGCTAATATTGAAATGTATTATTCATCCCCTTGAGTAATCTCTCTTATGGGTTGCTTCGTCAGTCAGCATGCCTGGTAAACAGAGGAAGTACATACAAATTAAAATGTATCATTGTTATTGTTCAGGGAACCAAGACATACATACATACATAGCTTCAAGTTAAGCAATTCACCTACTCATATTGAAATGTATTACTCATCTCCTAGAGTCAGCATTCCTGGAAGACAGTTTTATTTTTGTGATTGACCATTGTCTCAGTCATTCAATATCAAAATGGGTTTTTGCATTACTGTGTAACAGTTCAAATTGCCACTTCTCGTATCACCACATCAATGTTGAAGGTATCAAAATGAATAATGGAGAAATAAGGAGGAAAGTAATCAAGATTAGTAAACATTTGTGATAAAAAGGGAAAAGGATAACAACATTCCATATGATAATTAAAATGAAAATGTGTGGATGCATCTGCAGCACTGAGATCGATTACCAGCCTTATCCGTTACAGACCTGAACCACCAAATTCGGTTGCCATGGCCACTCCAACCGTAAAGTCTACATTCCCTTATGTGGCTCAGGCTAACAATCAGATATTTCATGGACTCATTTTATGTTAAAGACTGGTGTAAGCCTACTTCAGAAGGCAACGCACTACGCAGTAGAAGATGACTTTCCATGCATAATGCATATCTGAATCACCTGAGTCGATGAAGATTCATAACCTTACTAATTAGCTTATCTCTTTTAACTAAAACTCTGAGCCGATGTAATGGTTTCATTGGACGCGGTCGATGAAGTCCGGACCAAAGATTGCTCGAATATTTGAAACCTTTTTGTCCCTCATGTTTTATGTCCACGTGTAGCAGCCATATAGTAGGACAGAGCAAACTGCCACGCAGTACACTCCAAATTTAATAGGTAGTTGGATATCTCACGGTTGCTACAGATGACTGACTTGGAGCATGCAACGACATTGTCCTGTTTGGTGAGAACACCGACAAAATGCAGTCTTTGGAACGCCTGGAGTAGAATTCTGATCATGTTTAGCATGCGTTTTGCACCTGCCAAATGTAAGATGATGCTTCAGAACTGGCCATTTGGCATTCTTCAAATTAGGTCATCTCTGGCTCCAACGAAATTCCCGACTACCTTTTAAAGGACGACTATATTGCGCTGCTGCCTCCTACTATACGGCTGTGAGATTTGGCTGCTGAAAAAAATGACATGAAGACCCTACAGGTTTTTGACTGAATATTTCTTTGCAGCATTGCTCACGTATGTTGGAATCACCAAGAGAGCAATGTCAAAGTTAGGCGAAGGCTACCAGACAAGTTAATCGATCAAATTGTGAATCTCAAGCAGCTGAGATGGCTTAGGTATGTGTTGCTCATGCTAACAAAGTATGCCTTGACGTTCAGCGTTAGCCGAAATAGCATTGGGCTGGAAGGAGGCTGACGATAGTCAAACTAAGATGTGGAACAAGTCCATAAAGTCTTTTAGTATTTATCGGGGTCGTGTATTCTGTCTGTGTCCTTGAGAGAATAGGAATCAGCAGTCGGAGATCACTAGTCAGAATTGTGCAGATGCATTCACTCCTTTTTATCCTCAACATTCAATCTAACCTTTATTTTCCAGCAGCATAAGAATACCATTCATGCTACCATAATAGAGCTAACTCAATATTAGCTGGTAAGTACGAATGGAACATGTAGCTCTTCCGTAGGAACTCTACGAAGGAACTGTGGTGACCGTCAAATTTTCTGATATTGTTTAGTTAATGGCTGACTGTGGAGTCCATGAATAGACTTCGTCCTATTAGGAATCTATCAGCTAGATTTATCTGCACCAGCCAGTGATGCAGATGGAACTGGCACCCGTCGCCTCAAGCATCAGTGCTACCCTTTCTGCTCATATGTCACCATAAACCGGTTCGTTTAGGCTAGCAAGACAAACAACGAAAAATGAAGTAACAGCTTATACCCGCTTGGCAAGAGGTAGTTGTAGCCTACTGGGTAATGCTGTGATGTACAGATTTCCGACAGACGACCGCCATCTTTACGTGGAGATGTGGTTCATTGCCTTGGGAACCCGACTTTCGAGCAAACAGTGGCGGGTTCCAAGCTCATCCACCTCGGCTTGGGTGTAGGTCTTACCACAAGCCCCATCATTACAAGTGTGCTTCATGGCCTAGTACACAAACGTGTAGCGGGTTGATTTATACGGTGGTTCGGCTTGCGTATCAACTTGACTCAACGAACTATACCGATGGGAACGATTGTCCTACTGTAGTGGGCGTTCCTGATCAGATTGGATGTAAGTAGTATATGTTGAGAGGGCGGCAGGAATCATAGGGAATTACCAGCAATGGGTGAAGATTCTGCCCAGCGGAACGCAAGAGGCAATGTGGGCGTATTAAGAGCAAATCGAGATAGAAGCAGAAGAGGAGATGAAGCACATTATTGTCTTAGTGGAAAGTGTACAACACTTCGTCTCCATCTTGTTGTTTTCTACACTACCATGTGTAAAGGTTTCGCTGGATAATGGCAAAAACTGAAGCAGCAAGTGACACTATGATGGCGATCCGAGAGTGCGACGGCAGTAAGATGCTCCACATGGTTAACCACGACTGTGTGCTGCCCCTCCTACTGGACGCAAAGGGACTAGAAAACATCAGCCTTATGTGTAGCATGTTTTTCTCTTCCAATCCTGGTGGTATGGGTTTGCTTAGTGCGGATATGTCAGTGATAAATATTCCTTCCTGCGTCTCAGTCGTGTCGCATTCTGCAATAATTTTGAACCTAATTTAATGAAAATTATCAAATTTTCTACTTTAAAATTTGCACTGTAACAAAATATAGAATAAAATGAACATTACCTACCATAATCCATTAATCTTTTTGCAATATCTATCACTTCAATATGCTGACTAGAGAATTGTGAACAGTCTATTATAAATTCATGTGCACACATTCCAGCATCGTTGACATAGCGTATATTGTAATAATCTCGTAGACGCTTCAACATGTAGTTAGCATTTAGCAAAGCTATTTGTGATGCGCGTTTAACTCCTTTAAAGGGGATTTTGAAATGTTTCGTGTTTTGAAAAATGATACATTCACTTTAACAAATAAATATGATTTACCGAAAAATGAACAGAGGGATCGAACTAGAATGTTTAATATGTGACTGTGTTATCTTCTGTACCTACGTTTCCTACTTCTACTGACCAAGCAGGACATAAGAGTACGAAATTTTGTACAAGTTTCAGGTCTCTTTTTAGAATTTTTTTACCAAAGATTAACTCAGTGATATCTTGAATGATTCATATCCACTAGAGTTCCTGCTTAATCTTAACTTCTGGCAAAAGTGACTAATCCGGATAAGGTGTCTTTCTATGTATAGGTAAGTCTAAGAGTTACATGGCTAATTCTAGACTGCATTCCCGTTCTAAAGACTTTTTCAGTTACATTTTCTTTCTTTTCAAATAGATATTATATGCAGCCTAACAGATAATATTTTTTGCCACATATCGGAACAAGTAGAAAACTGCTAGTTTCAGAGTTACTTTGTGGTCAGGAGAATTTCACTCATATCTATCTATGTTCGAGAAGACCTTATATAGTTTACTAATATGGTTCTAATTTTTGACATATTTCTGCGTTTCTGGTAACTGAAATGTTACCAGCAGTTTGCTGCAATTCCATACAAATATGTTAAGTATTTTCAAACCTTGGTATTCCGACTGATTACCGTGTTTAGTTCCCATTGGTTATTAAATTATCTCGAAATGACTACATCAAGTCAGTTCACCTGCAGATTAAGCCCATAGAATTTTTCGTGGGACTCTTCATTTTAAGGCTTATGAGAAAAGACAGAATGATACTCAATTTACCCTATGTAATATTCTTGTCAGTTAATGGAGAAATGCAAGTTCTTCGTGTTGTTGAGTTCTTGAATAAGAGTTAGAGTGGACGGTTCCCCTCAGAATTGTAAGATACACCATTTCAAGAAGTTATAACCGTCTGGTTACAGTTTTTAGAATGTTTACTGCACTTAACACAGAGATGAGATTGTTAAGTTTCGGGGAAAAATTCATCTTTGCTGATGGTGAATTAAGCTACAAGTTCCATGCATGCCATAAGGATTTTTTACTCTCCTTCAACACTGAAAAGCTTTAAACACCTCAGATAGTTACTTCATTATAAAAGAACTTCTAAAGCTGTCCAACAAAAATCAGGTATCTTTATTAGGGAAATACCTTCCTATTTTTCGTATTGTACAAATTAGTGTCAGTATAAGTATGCAACTTTACACGACTTCGCTTTTTCAGTTGGTGCCACAACAGAGGTAGTCGTCACCCGGTTGAATAATATTGATTTTGAAAGAGGAAACAACACTAAAGCGTATCAGTTGGAATAGTTTGTTCTAGCTTTAATGCTAAATTAAAACAACTTCAGGTCTTTATAAACTGACAGCTTCACTTTTATCGAGGGGGGGGACCGACTATGAAATATTTAAAAATTAACTTTATTATATTCTTTTAATTTTGTCTTCAATGACAAGCCAACAGTGCAGATTTCTAATGTGTTCGAACAGCTTAATTGATGTGACTCTGTTTAAGAGGTGAGCAAGTGAAGTTACTTCATTAGGGTTCTTGTTATTTATAAATTCGAATGGGATTGCTTTTGTGGCTAATACATTTAATATCTACTGATTTGTTCTAGACTACCAGCTGTTATTCAGCATTATGCCAATTACTTTTACTGCAAAACACTCAGCTGTTGCCAAAACTCATTGCTTTTCCTTCAGAACGCTAGTATAAACTATCATATTTCTTAATGATAGGCACTCCATTTGGTCTTCTACTTGATTTTGGATTGGGACTTCATTAGATTTGAAGCCGAAATGCATGCTTTTAATTACCCAGCACAGTTTTCATCAGTTAAAGCAGCAATGAAAAAAAATACCGGAAAAAACATGAGAAAAGAGAGGAAAAACTAAGTATTATTTAAAAGTGGCTACCTTCAGGCCCTAGTAATCGAATATAGGCCCATGATATTGGTAGTAGGCTTGCAGAGCCGAATGGAGCTGAACAAATCGAGTAGTGACAAGATAATTTATGTCCAATATTAATTTTATGACCAGTGTCACTCATGTATGTGTGGCCATATAAGTAATGCTGGGGTAGAAACGCTGCCAAATGCGACTTTACACAAACAGGTCCACAACCAGGTCCACCGCCACCATGAGGAATGCTGAATGTTTTATGCAAATTCAAGTGTGAAACATCTGAACCAATATCAGCTGGGCGACATAAACCAACCTAATCAATTTAAGCAGAAAGATAAGAAAGGCTGGATAAAAAAGTATGATGTCTTCTAGGAAACTGAGAGATACAGCATTAAAAACCTCTTTAAATCTAAAAATTGATGGAGGTGTTTTTTTCTGTATGCTATCAACCTCTAATAACTGAGAACACGAGTAAACTAATACTTGGTCACTCAGTTGGAGTCGATACATAACAGAAAGTTATCAGTTCTTAATGCAGAATACTTATTTCATAATGTATATGAAAGACATTTTTTCTTGTTATCCCTGTTCAAAGTGAGGTCACTATTTCTCCACTTATCTTCAGGAAATCAATGTCTGAAGCTACCACTCGATAAGGAGTAGTAAAAAAACAGTTTGTACTTTGCTATAAAAATGGATGCAGTTCACTTGACCACCAAAATTTATACTCATTTCCTATCTATATACCACTCGAAACAGAAACTTTATATCTCCCATTTGTCAGTCCTATCTGACATGAAACTATTAGGAAATGGTAAAGATACAACAGAACGCCAACTGACTGAAACTCTAAGGTCAATTATGGAACAGAAACTGCTATCTAAACCCACATGCGATACATTGAAACCTTCAGGTACATGTACACCTAGAATGTATAGCCTACCAAAAGTTCACATGAGTGGAATACTACCACCCGGATTCTATGCATGTAGAACCCTCTGAATCATTCACCAGCAAAATGGTTAGCACAAGCCCTAGAACCTCTAAACCGCGAAACGGTGAAATTCAGTGCAAAGGATAGATTCAGCTTTTTACAGCGTTTCAAAATATGAATGTTAAAGACAAAAGGATGGTGTCATTAGATATGAGATCATTATTTACCAATCTCTAGCTTATTGAAACAGTCAACTACATATGCGATCAACTAACAGATCGAGAAATAAACGTGGCAATCCCACGTGAAGAAGTTAGTCGATTACTGCTAAAATGCCCGATGAATATTCCTTTTATGTTCAGTAACGAATTCTTTAGACAAGTGGATGGGGTTGCAATGCTCCTCTGGGTTCAATGCTGGTGAATATCTTCTTGGTTAAACTTGGAAACGGTTTACTTAGAGACACAATCGATAAACTAGACTATTATTGCCGGTATGTGGCTAATACGTTCAGCATTTGTGACAACGACAACGAGAAAACGATCTTTTGAATAGTTTCAATAATTCCATCCAGCTGTGAAGTTCATCTGTGAGGAAGAACAGGGGAATACTATGTCATCCCTAGATGATTTCCTCATCAGGAAGACAGAACAGTATATTAAGAGGAATATTTCTTTAGGAAAAACACATGAACAAGTCAATATATTCATTTTCATACTTTCACACCAATTCAGTACAAAAGTAGTTGAATACCTGAGTAACAAAATGCGAAATATACATTCAGACGACTGTATGGAAGAAGTGGATAACCTGAAGATAACATTGCAGGAAAACAGTTATCCAGTAGACGTCATAAATAAACACACGATGAGACCTACAGAGACTACAAACAAGGATAATGTAGCTAGGATACTTTTATGGCCTAGACTAAGTTTCAAAGGTGACACTGATTGAGTAGATTTATCGAAAAAGTACTCACTGCAGCGAAACTTATCATCAGCTTCTACACCAAACGATTACTGACACACTGAACCAAGGATAAGTTACCAATGATGGCCGATTCAATGTGCATTTATAAGTTCAACTGCTCCTGTGGAGCTAGTTTCATAGGCTCTAACTCAAAGTGCGCTACCTATCCGTACTCGTGAAAGTGATAGCTTGGTTCGGAAATGAATGACAAAGTGCGTTAACAGTACGATCCTTTAGAATTTAGTAGATAGTGAGCATCAAATCAAGTTAGATCATGCCTTTTCTGTGATATATCGTGCTTATTGCAATCTCCCCAAAGGGCCACGACTACGCCACTTACCTTTAGTCGAAACTGTGAGAATCAACACAAGAAAACCTGATGTATTTGCTCAAAAGAAATATGTGCATCCACTTTGTCTACTGTGACCTGTTCTTTGTAACCATCCTTCCACAGTTTCCACATTTTTACCACTCGTCTCATATCATCCCATTCTTTAACTTTGTCTTCTTTATGTCACTGATAAGCATTCATTTTCATACGTTATTAGTTTCAAGCCCCTCGTTTGGTCGTACCAGTAGTCATTTCCAACCCTTACATAACATTTTCACATTTGTTATTCCATTATTGTATCCACACGATTTTCAGACTACCTGAATATAACTCATCGCCACATAATGATTATTTCATCCCTAGAGAAAAAAATACATTCATACCCCCGGGAGATGTATGTAACTTAATCATCATCTCCAGATTTCACCTCCTTACATTGTGATTGTTCTGTTCATAGTGACTTTACCGCACAGCTAACACCAGAGTGACTACTACTTCACGTAAAAAAATTTACATCCATTTCATTTGATTTCTATCCTTCCCACTCCATCCCCCCCATAACACTGATTATTGCAACTTATGCCTGATATTGGCTTGCTTCAGGAAGAAGAAATCATGTACGGATCAAATTACAACGCTACACTACGCATCATCATAGAACAGAGCATAGAATGGCAGTCAACTATCTACCTCAGCTTTATCGACTTTGAAAAGGCCATCGACCGACAAGTAATTTGGTAGCTACTTCAACACTACGGTTTTAGTAATGATGGGAAGTGGCTAGCAGTGGAATCCAGGGTGCCCATTTCGTCCTATTTGGGACTCGTTAGCTGAATGTACCTGCCTCCCAGTGAGTGTTGTTCCACCGGGACTCGGACCCGGGGGTGATCGCTCCAAACGCTAGAGCGTTATCCACTACACCACCGAGCCACAATAGCCACTTCTTGTGAGACGGGTATAGTTTTTAGTGTTATTGCTTGTATTACACCGCCGTTGATTGGACCGAATTGATAAGTCTCTGTTGTGGCATATGGGCTCCTGTGCAGATGCCTCGATATTGCTTGTGTTTCAATTATGTATGGTAATGATGGGCAGTGGCTAGCGGTGGAATCCAAGATGGGAACAACATCACTCACTAGTAGGCAGGTACATTCAGCTGACGAGTCCCTAATAGGAAGAAACGTGCATCCTGGATTCCACTGCTAGCCACTGCCCATCATTACTAAACATAACTGAAACACAGGCAATATCGAGGCATCCGCACAGGAGCTCATATGTCGACAGAGACTGATCAATTCAGTCCAATCAACTACGGTTTTAGTGCCAAAAGCTTTTATCAACCTCATTCAACAACTATGTGAAGTCGCCACATGCCAAGTGATTCACAATGGAAAGCTCAGTGACGCCTTTGAAGTGAAGACAGGAGTAAGACGAGGCTGCCGCCTACTATCACCCATGATCTTCCTCATTGTGGTGGACTAGACTGGATCACACAACAAACTGTGAGAAGATGGGCATACGCTGGCTGGACCGATGAAAAGACCTTAAGAGAAGATTTGTATTTCGCCACCGATGATGATTTATGTCTAATGTCTTGTCGTATAAACTCGAAGATCTACATGCGAAAACTAACAAGTTAGTAGAAGAGGCAAGGCAGCGAAGGGAGACAGGACTTCAAGTGAACGTAGAGGAGACAGAGATGGTGAAGATACCCAGCCAACAACAACAACAACAACAATAACAACAAGCTGCAATCACCATCAACGGGAGAAACAAACCTAAAGGAACTGGTGTCTTTCACGCAGATTCCCAGGCAGCATCGTTTCAACTACAGGTGGCGGCACAAGCACAGATGAGGACGTCAAAGCCATCCAGGATCGGAAAAGCTAGACAGGCGTTCATTAGCCTGAAACCAGTGTGGAGATCTACTGCACTCCACTCAGCATAAAGCGTGAGCAAGATCCGGATTTTCAACACTAATTCAGTCAAGTCAGTGCTTCTTTGTGATGGTTCAGAAACTTGGCGCATCATGAAAAGCATTTCCAACAAACTATAGACATTCATCAACAGCTGCCACCTACGCTCACTTGATACTGAAAACCAGATGGCCGGAAAGAATAAGCAACCAACCAAGGACCTATCGCCCACCAAATATGCTGAAGAACGTGGAGACGGATTGAACTGGGCATACACCTAGAAGACCATTCGGGGACATCACGCACCAGGCACTCAAGTGGAGCCCGTATGGGAAATGACTAGTTGAGCGTTCGAGGATGACATGGAGGAGATCATGCAAGGAAGAAATGAAAACTTGTGAGCAGACGTGGAGACAGTTTCAAAAGACTGCAGAGAACAGAGTGGAATGGCGACGTGCTAGTGAAGCCTTATTTTCCACTAGGAACTTAAGAGACAAATAATAATAATAATATTAATAATGTCTTGTATTGGCTATTGTGTTTCACCTATCCTCATAGACTTATAATTGTAGAGTCTGAGGAGGGAGTTACTAAAAGCAACTGTTCATTCATGTTATTTTTGTTCTGAATAATCTATGGAGATCTTTAAATTTTATACCTATAAACAGGCAGACGAAAAAATACGGTACATTTCACAAAAGTGCGCTTCATTAATTCTTTTCTTGCCTGCATTTACTAAACCTACTTTAAATGAGAAAGGGTGAGGTGATTTGAAGTCTAAGTAGAAATTCCAATGGAAAGGTTTCCTATAGACATTCTCTAAACTTCTATCTTGCTTTTGTTTAGTCTTGCAATCCAACATTGCTAACTCACCTTCATCATTTTCTAAGTCACAAGTGAACTAAATTCCGTTTACTACTGAATTTATATGCGGAAGAAACCTAATGATATGCCCCGATCTCAGTACGGTAAATGTATCATCTACATATCTAAACCATATATCTTAGAAACAATCTTTGTAGGCTGAAAGATCCTTTGATTCAATTAAGCAAAACAATTCAGTTTATTAGATCCCTTGCAATGATCGGAAGGTTAGATAGGTCAAACCAAGTCAATTAATATTAGAGCACAAAAACTTAGCTAAATCAAGATTAGTAGATATTCAAAAGATAGGGAATTTAAAAGAAAGCTCGGCTTTAGTAGTGTAAGCAGTTATACACAATCACACAAAACGGTGGGATAGAGTGACACAGTATTGAAAAGTGACTAAGTTGGGCGGAGGGGGAGATTGATAACCGAATCTTTATACTGGGTGACGACTGAAGGTGAAATGAAAATTTGGACCATGGCAGAATTCGAACTAGCGACCACCGGTCTGATGCTCTACCAACTGAGCTACAAAGTCAGACTGCCAAACCACGGCCATCACAGATAGTCAAAATGATAATCGATATGATGCTCCCTCTCTCTAATTCAGTTAAATTTGGATTGCGACGAGAAGTCCTGACCAGGCAGGCAGTGTGAATACAATCAAGCGGTAGTAACGCGTCACGAATTCATATAGTAGTCGGGCAAAATCTGTGGTGATTGAATTGGAAAAAAAATCTGGTCAGCAATGGGACCTCGTAGCCCAGTTGATGGAACACCGGACCGGAAACCCGGTGGTCGCTGGTTCGAATCCGGCCGCGTTCCAAGTCTTTATTTCACTTTCAACCATCACGTAGTATCAATACTAGTCTGCCAAAACACGGCTATCTCAGATAGTCACAATGATAACCAAATCTTTGTTTGTTGAATCCACACCAAATACATGCGACAGAAATGATAAATGGGAAATTCTACTATCCTTGTCCTAATGAAGGAGCGAAAAATAGAAATACATAAACCAAGTCTAAAAGTTGTGGAGTTACATGACATGAATATGTGCAATAAATTACGTCCAAAACGTTATCCCGTAAATAATACTGTTTCACTGTGTGACACATTTAATCAACGGATTGAAAAAGAACTCTTTAATCGGAAAAGAGAACTGTCTTTTTACACATGACGATTTCGTGAAAAAGTCTCGTTTAATTGGATTTATTAAATATTCTCTAAAATCAGCATTGGCTGATATCCAAAAAAGTCTTCACAAAAACCGGGTTTCTGGAAAAACCCATTTGAGCATGCTCTAATATAACCAGGGTCACTTGTGAGAACCTTGAAAGCAGCTGTAACCAGAATGAAAACATCACTCCCTGAAAAAAACGACTAACTAGAAATGCGTAGCTGCAGACCACTCACTCATTCCTTCTTGAACCCAATTCAACATGGTTTGTAGCATATACTATTTCTAGGAAAATTATACATCTAGTACGATGTCACAATCCATAGAATAGAACAGTAGATGCACTATTAGAAAAAAAATGATACTTTGGAAGTTGTCCGTACACTTCACTAAAGTGCAACAGAGTACACATTAATTCAAGTTTTTAACGCTACTGATGGAGTGGTCTCACCAGTGCAAAAGGTTTACATACACAATCAAGATAACTTCAGGACTGTTAAGATCATATCAATTTGTCGAAGCGAAAAATAGCAATAAAGTCACATTGTGTGAAAATACAAATATAAGCAGTTGGAAGTTTGGGGACCATAGCAGGTATACAATATCAACCACATATTTCATAGTTTGATTAGCAACCAGCTAAATCGGTTTTCTAAAAATGAGAAACGTTCCAGGTTTCCGAAGCCTAAGATTCGTTTTAGTCTGTGAAACGACGCTAAACTTTAGTCAGTAATCATGCTCACAATGACAAAAAGGTAAACTTGCTATAGTTGGTGTTGACATTGGCAGTAAGAAGTGCTACGACAACTGTTATTCCGTACTGGTTTTAATACTGGAAACCAGCGAATTCGCGAATGTTAAGAGTTAACTTTGACATTTGAAGTAACAGGCCAATCTTGGAGACTAACAGTCTATCTACAAGTTTCAGAGATGTAGTCTATGCAGTAATCTAATTTGAATAATAATACTATGTGATAAAAGTACCCGCTTTATATTGAAATTTCATATGAGATGGCTATCACAAACATTTTCAGTAGCCAGTGAAAATCAATCACTGTCATGGTACAGGCGTTAAAAATGAACGCATTTACAGCATCGCCTTCCGAAATTGGTTATTTTATTTTTGAATGCAGTGTGTTTTCTGCAACTAATGTAAATCCCTAAACGTAAGTTTTGTCATCTACACGAAACCCAGAATTCCGTAGACTACTGGCCTTTGGAGTTGTAGACACACTTTGACAATCAGTTTTGTGCAGATGGGAAAACCAAAGTAAATGCGAAACTAAACAATATCATTTCACATTTAAAGCTTATTTCCGTTATCACGGATAGTTAACAGTAAACATAGAGATAAAATCACCTGTGCATTCAAATTGGCACCATCCATGAAAACTTGTCCACCGGCTTCATGTATCATTTCGCACACCTTTTGAACATCATTATCAAATACGCCAAATGTACTCGGATAGGTTATCATAATAGCCGCTAAGTTATCTCGGTATGATGAGATTTGCTCTTCTAAGTGGATCATATCCAAATAACCATTCGATGTTGTTTGAACCGGTTTAACAATCATTCCAGCCATATGTGCGCTTGCTGGGTTTGTTCCATGAGCCGAAGTAGGAATAAGACAAATCTGTTCGTAGGATGAAAATAAATGAGACTGATAAACTCGTGCTATCTAGTCACATATCCAGCGGAAATATACAGTTGTCAGAGTTTCTAGGTGAGATGAGAGTAACATAAATGGTTTACATTAGGGTACAAAAACATTTTGCAGCTTCGCGATATTATGAAAGCCGCTTCTTCAGAGAATAAAACCGGTATAGTTATTCAATAAGTGGAGACAAACCAGACATTATATACATGTCCAGTCACTCACTTTCTGCACATTTCATCATCTAAATATCACTGCAATTGTCGACGCTCTACCCAAACCAATGGGTCATCAACTGAAGTGGACTCGAAAAAGATTATCAGCAACCCTTTGACTATCAGTTTTCCTTCCTCTCCTACAGCACAATGGAAGACATAGACCAATGGACCACTGTTCCTATATTCTATGGGACCTGAATCACACGTATATTACGGAGTGCCATATACACATAGTCAATTAACTGATTTCGAACATGGCGATCGGGAAACTGTACAATTAGCGACGAATGACTTTAACGGCCACCCTAACAACAACTGAAATAGTCAATCAGGTTTCTTTATTTCGCAAGAAACCACCCTTTCAGCCGAGACAGAAATTTGATTGGTTATTTTTTCCCCGGTCGATAACTGCTACCTTGAAGTAGTGGTCGCACTTGAATATCATGATACAACGAGCTATACCGACCAGAAAGCTTGTTCCCTCGAGGTCATACTATACCATAGTGCTAAGACGAAAGACAGTTGCCGTTATGGTGGAAATTATCACCTTTTTTAAGGGGGGTCTGAGGGCGAAGTCATACTGCTGGCTGGATGGGGTGTGGCAGCAGTAGACTTTTTCTCTTGGATGACCAGCATCACCATGCTGATGCTGCCTTTCATATGGGGAGTGGGAGATTCGAAAAGGTTGGCCTCAAAAATAGCACACTCTTCCCTGTCATACAGTGTTCTGGTGCCTGCGGTATGGGCTTTCTCTATCTGGCTATAGAACGACAAAAAATCAAAACATACCATAAAAGGCCGTGAGTGACAGGCCTTAGGCAGATGGCCCATGGGCTCTGTGGTCACACAAATCTTTTCCTCCTCAAGAAGAGGTAGTCTTCCATCGTGTGATCAGCTGGGAAGCGCCAACCACTCTTAATAATAAGCCTCTTACACCTACCCCAACCTCTAATTCTGCAACTATTAAGAATGATCAAAGTAGCTGGAACTTCATTTCTAGTCTCAGAAGACCCGGTCATCGATTTCATGTAGGCGCTTTCAACGTCTGAACTCTATGCAAATCAAAAAGCAACTGTCTCTCATCAGAACTTTGAAATCTGAAGTTACGGATGTATGCTATCTCTGAATCGCATATACAGGACCGGAGTGCGGTTATTAAATTGACCTAACCTGGCCATAGTAGTGAATCTTCATAGTTCGCTTTAAGGGTATCCGGAGACCCAGTTGCTGGCTCTCGTGGACTTGCTGGTGTACGCATAGCATTCAGCTTTACGGCAGAAAGTGTTTCTCGACTGGATACCAGTCAACAGCTGTCTACATCCTGTTCGACTGAATGGATTTGTACGGACCAGGAAGGATTGTGTTATCAACCGATGCAGATTCCTAATCTCCGCTACGCATACACTGACTGGAGTGCGGATGATACAAAGGATGAATTCTATGAAAAGCTGTCAACTTGGCTACAGAAAGCAAAGCGTTCAGACGTAGCCATAATGGGAGGTTTTTGCCACTCAAATAGGGAAGTTTAGACAATCAAAAGGGCATCTAGAAGGTATCTACGGAGTCCCATGCCAACGAACCAATAGTGATGATGGTCTGTTGCAAGTTTGTTCTGACAATCGCTTTTTTCTGGCTAGTGTTAACTTCAAGCGTAAAGAGAGGCACTGTCTCACATGGCGTCCACAGACATCCAACCAACGATGGACACAGACAGATCATATTACTATAAGCCGTTGTTTGAAAGGATCGGTGGAGGATTGTCGCTCTTACTGGAGTACAGTTTGCACTCCGACCACGCGTTAGTACTGGCTCATGTGTGTCTGCGGCTCACTGGTCGCAGGAAATAGGCAATGGTAGAACCCATCTATGGTCGACTGGAAGATAAAAGTGTCAAGTACGGATTGAAAGAGCAGTTAGCTAAACATTTATCTGAAGGTGGCAGTAATGCTCCCCCCCCTAAGGAGGACTGGTTTGATATTGAATCTGCTGTAGAAACACTGGCAAAGACAGTCGGTAACTTATATCCAAAGGTTAGCAAGCCTAACGGGATTTCCACGACTTCATCCGAACTGAATATTGTGGGAAGACTGATCCCAGCCGGTTTTGACCACGATGAAGAGCGGAAGCAACTCAAATCTAAGTTGACCAAGAGTATTCGCGTCGATCGCGAGCAGTGGTGGATGGTGAAAGCGAAAGAGATGGTATCAGCGGTGGATGACACTCGAAAACTATTTAGGCTTATTAAGGATACCAGCAAGAAGAAAATGGTGACCGAAAGCATTACCAAAGAGGATGGGACGCTAATAACCTCTCAAGTCAGGCGGTTAGAAGGTTGAGCAGAACATTCTGATGCGCAGTTCAACTGACCCTTAGCAACGCGTCAGTTATCCAACGTTCAGCTAGCTCGAACCTGAATGGGATGCGGATGTCGGTCCTTCAACTCTCCTTGAGGTTGAGGAAGCCATATATATGTTGAAAGCTATGTATATTAAAGTGGAGCCTGAGGAAATCTAATTTTAAAAAAAATATTCCCCGCCTACTTGTCTTGTTGTAATATTATAACTGGCGAAATGGCAGTTCAAAGTTTGGAGGTTGTGGGGATTTATTTATTGACTCCAGGTTAGTATTCATCGTGGGCCGACATCAGTTGGAGAAACATTGGAAACCCGGGGGAACTAAACAACTGTTTTGTCCCAGTATGGGATTCGGCAGCACGTACCCTAACCCGACAAGGATCGAACCCAGAAAACTAAAGTTCCGCAGCCAGCACGTTACCGATGAGCCAATGAACCATAGGATTCCAGTGACTCAATGGTGACATGCAGGGCGCGGAACCTGAAGGTTTGAGGTTCAATCTGTTGTAAGGCTCCAGTTTTGTTTCAAACATTGTTATTGATCTGGACATTTTAACGTGTCATTCCTATACTGTTTTTTATGGTATAACTGGTAGTCTACTTTCAGCCCTATTGTAATGTAATTTGCTGATTGGTTAACCTTTGCACTTACTATGCGAATGTCTCAAATTGAGGACAAGGTCACGTGCTCTGGGATTGATATTATATTATATTCTAGGAGTAATAAATCCTCTCATCATCTAGCTTCGGTCTTCTCTCTATTCGCCATAAAGTTGCAGTCAGTGGCTCTTGGTTACTAAGTTAGCTACCAGTTGAGCGTGCGTATTATATTCGTCCGGAATATATATAACCGTTGTCTTACGAAACTTTAACAGTGGCAATGGGGATGGGATAATAGTGTTGCTCCAAAGAAGCATTTAACCCTGTCGAGAAATCAGCACATAGTCGGATGGAGCCATTAGCTTTCTTTATGACGACGATTGGAGCAGCCTAAGAAGAATGGGAAACTGGAGCAATGACATCCTGTTCCTGAAGTTGTTTTAGTTCTGCCTCGACAAGAGGTAGCGATGCATATGGAACGGGGCTTCTAGGACGAAAAACAGGAGATGCATTTGGTTTCAGGCGTAGGACGGCTTTGGTTATGATACAGTGACCGAGGCCAGATTAGACAGAATACCTCTTAATATTCAGCAATAATATCGTTAAGATTCGTTGTGGAGTATGATGGTGCTCCCACTTTGTCGCACAGCATATTCAGTGGAAGGTCGGCGAGTTTCAAACTCTCAAACTAGTCGAGACCCAGAAGGTTTAAATCAGCGTCAGATAGATAACAAATCCCATTTGTCGAAGTATCGTGAAAAGATACAGTACATGATAACTGACCTGTTAGTGGTAATCGGCCAACACATGCGCTAATAGCAGTTATCCAGTCTTCTGGACAGGAGGACGACCAATCTCCCACCATAGCTTCTTGGAAATGATCGTAATATCGGGAGCTGTGTCGATTTGTAGTTGTACTGAATGGTTAATCTGGACAGTGATATATTTTCTCCGTGCTGGTGCGTGTGCTTGAAAAGCAGCAGTAAGACTAAGAGATTTGCTGACTAGTCGAGACTTCGACGGTGACTGGTTGGTGGCCTGCCTGTTCTTTGTCATGGATGCTGCTTGCAAAATCCCCAGTTGTGACCCACAATATTACAATCTCTGCATTTATTATACTTACAAGTACAAGACTTAACGAAATGCCATGCTCCACAATACCAGCAAGGGGACGGAGGGGTCTTCTTTCATGTTTCTTTTGGTATTGCATGAGCTGCTGGGATGACGAACAGAAGATGAAGAACCAAGGGTCTTTCGGCCAGAAAAGGATGCAGAGAAATTAGGTTTCTGGCGAACCACATAAACTTCATGATCACCTAGGGGTCCAGATTGGACTAAATTTGTATCTCACTGCAAGTTGACCAATCACTGATATTCAGCAGCAATATCATTCAACGTTAGTGTTGGTTATTGCTCCAACCTATTTAGCAATCTCATTCTAATATCTGCGAACTTGGGCGACTAAAGGCTGCATATGGGTATCAAAGATTTGAATTGATTATCGGTGATGGACTTCAGCTTGAATTTTCGCATTCGCCATTGACAATATCAACATAGGTGAGAAAATTATCGTTCTCATTCATGACCAATTTAAGACAACGATATCTGGGATTGAAAAGAGACGAATGATCATCAAAATGTTGTCTTAGGGTCTTTATTGTGGCATCGAAGGAGCGGCCTCTTGGGTTCTGTGGCAGTATTATATTGCAATACTGATCCAATTCGGATGGACCAAATTTTCTAAGGAGACGAACTTTCCGTGAATCATGTTGACCAGCGAAATCAACTCTGAAGTGGTCTTCATATCTTCCGAACCAAGTATCGAAAGTCACATTATGATCCAGACCATAGTGAAATCCTGTGATACTGGTTGAGATTCCATCGACTGAAGGGGCTGATATAGCAGGCGTAGGATTCAATGATCCAGGTGCAGAAATTCTGGCTGAGTTAATAACTCGATAATCTTCATCTTTTGTTCGAGAAATTTGTCCAGCTTCGAAGCGTCCATTTTGGATCCCATCCACGTCGCCACTGTTATGATCTAACGCTATAGATAACGATGCAACGCTCTGAGACGAATATGACTAATGACAGAACAATGACTTCTCAACTCGATACTCAATGACACCAGAAGACGATGAGACTGAAAATTTATTCACTCCAACCGTATGAATGATAAGTGAAAACTCAGTCGTTAATACGTCCTTAGATGGCCTTGGCCAGAGAAAAAAATATAGAATATTCAGTGTAAAATGGACCAATCAGCGTTTAGTATTCTAAACTGAGGTAAAAATAAGAAACAACATGCCGGAAAAGGGGCACGAAATAAGGCTTAAAACATCACAATGATAAAATAAAAGTATTATAAGTTAGTTATCTTGGTGATTGGCAGGCCTAACACAATCGCTGGCAGGATCATGGGTGCGAACTGTTGAGAAGTTCCATACCAGAATGAAAGTGTTGTTCAGTACTCCCAGGTTTCCAATGTTTCTCTAACTGATGTCAGTCCAAGAAGAATAACAACCTGCGGTCACAGTTACTTATTCAAAGGTAAATTATGCCATTTTCAAATGGAGTTTCATAGCTTGACCCAAAAACAGTTTCCTACCAAAATTCATGTCCAAGCAAACAACAATCTTGACTGGTGGTACTCAGCTACTCTTTTTAAAGTATTCACCATTATTCGTCAACAGAATAATAAAAACTTACGCATTTTGATATGGCACTAGATAAACAAGAGACAATACATAAAAACCATAATTAGAGAGGATCGACAAAATCTTTTGAAAATCTGTCAAAGCTCAGAGGGTTGTGTGTCATTGGGGTTATAATCTTTATATAGTAGACTAAAATATTTACCTGAAGTGACCATTACTCAGTCAAGACTCAAGATACAATAACTCTTTACAAAACTACTCAATAATATCTATTGTTTGATAGAGCTGTTTCGTTAGGGGAAATCTTTCAAAAATTCACTTGTAGTTCTTGAGTTTGAAGGTCAAATTTCCGACCATTCACTTGTAAAGAAAACGTCATTGATAAAATGGTAAGTAAAATAAAAATACTTACATTACGATTCTTTTCACCTTTTCTATCCAAATATCCTCTGATAGCCTTAAGCCCAGCGTATTCACCTTGAGCTCCACTGTTCGGTGCAAGTGAGACAAAATCATAGCCTGTTATCTCTTTTAAATCATTTTCCAGTTGTACAAGTAATTCTAAATAACCGCTAATTTGATCTTTTGGTACAAAAGGATGCAATTTGTTAACTGTATTCCATGAACAGGCCTGTTAGTTGATCGTGAGTGAAGTAACCCGTCATTATTGGGAAAAACAAAACAAACCACTTTAATGGAATTTATGGCTTGAGTTGAATTCAGTGCATAAACAATTGGAAAATTATTAACGAAGCCCACGGTTCACATTGGAATTTCTTTCTGCTAAACAGTTTATCAACAGGATCTACGTTGAAAACCACAGAATCAAGAGCACAAATTGTTATAACTAACACAAAAATGACGAACTAGAAACATGTACCAGTCAATTACAGGAGCAGACAGAAATCATTTACAGTAATCTGCATATTTCTCCAACTGAATCAGAGCGATTCAGTCATCCACAAAGATCACCTTGATTGCTTAATAACTGTTGTTTCACAGCAATATAAAATCAATCCACTATGGATTGATTAATGCTCAAGAGTTTACTTCTATACTTTATTACTGGAAATAGTTTAACAATTATTTTTTATTGATACTAGGTGATGATTCAAGGTGAGATGAAAATCTGTGTCGTGAGAAGATTGGGGACCAGCAGTCTCTGGGTTACTGTCTAGCTGAGTAAGTCCACTTGGTATAGTACTGGGTTGGTAACCCTAAAGTTTCTGGTTTGAATCCTACCATAACCCAGGTTTTCATTTCACCTTCAATCATCAGTCAGTATCAATAATACAAGTCTGCCAAACTACTGCTGTCTAAAATATTCAAATTGCTATTTTTTTTATTGATTTCAAGTTGGTATTCATCATGGACTGACATCAGTTAGAGAAACGCTGGAAGCCTGGGACTCCTCAACAGTGCGCATCCATGATCATGCCAGCGATTGAACCCAAGATCTTCAGGTTTCGCAGCCAGTATGTTACTATGGAGACACTGAGTCGGAATCCGATGTCAACTCACGATCTACACCCAATGCCCTCATTGAATAACCGTCCTCATGATCGACTTGGTTGGTCCTGAAATGAATTATTTTTTAGTTTATTATATTGCATTAACAGATGCTTTGCTGAAGAATAAAAACGTGCAACTACAAGATAGTTTTCCTTGCCAACAGTATTCTCCTCTACAACGTCTAACATGTGTAGAACCTTCAGGGAAATTATACTTCTTTGTAGATGTGTTTCAGTAAACTTATTTTGTGGTCAAGTTTTCTTTTGGAAATCGAATTATGAGCCAATTTATACAGTAGAAAATGCAATGCTTGACACATTCTATCAAAGGAATATCAAAATCAGCTAAAAGATCTTCAAAAAAACGAAAGCTTAGTCATGATACGCCATGATAAAGGTGCTAGGATAGTGCTTCTGAGCAAATATGACTATACAGATTAGCTGTCACTCATTCTATCGATGAAACAGAGCGTCGATTCTCCAAGATGCACTGAACCCTAAGAACAAATCTGTCCATGAGGTTCCTCGATCCTTTGACAATAGCTCTACTTAAGGTGAACAAAGGTGTTCCTCTTTGTCTGACGAAAGGCGTGACCGATTCTCCTTACCATTTAACTGAAAAATGGTTTGTCAAGCTACTGCATTCAGTGAAGAATGAAATTTGAAAATGTGACATATTTAGCCTTGTTGATTTTTTCAAGAATGTCAATCTGTCAAAAAAGAGAATGATTTCTCTGGATGTCATCTCCCGATTTACAAATGTCCTTCTAATGGAAACCATTTGTTTTCCGTGTAACTTCATTCAATCCCATAAATTAAAAATATTATCCCAAATCACTTTAAAAAAAAAACTTTTTCTCAGATTTATTTTAACGTACTCTTCAGATTTAGCAGCGGAATCTATACACATAGACGGCGTGGCAATGGGATCGCATCTAGGAACCCCCCCCCCCTCCTAACTGATTGCTTTATGGTAAGCCTGGAAGACAGGACATTATCGAAAATAATCGGCGGGTTTCATGTCTACAAAATATAACAAAGATGATATCTACATTATTTGTGACGGGAATACGAATCATGAAAACCTCCTTTACACCTTCAATAGTGCTGGTCGTTTTAACATATTCACTCTCGAAGAAGAGTTGAACTCGAAACTCCACTTTCTTGACGTCCAACTTTAAAGAAGAGCTGAAAATTCAGTCTACAGATCTATTTACAGAAAGCCTACTTAGTGCGGGCAGTTTATTAATTTTCAAAGCAGAAAAAGAAATCTTATCAGTTCACTCTCCTCAATGAATAAGAAAAATTTGCACCGAGGATATGCACGAAAAATCCTGATGAAAAATGGATACCCACTGGAATTTACACTTAAAAATCTAAAGAGGAAAATCATTACAGAACGCATGCATACTGCTCCGGAAAAGATTTTACTGCTGAACCGCGAATTCAAGGGAAATAATGAGGCAGATATATTTAGAAAGAAACTATCAAGGTGCCTAAACAGAATATTCTTTCCCACTAAACTTAGGATCACATTTTCCTTTCAGAAACTCTCTCGTCAGTACACAAAGGATAATTTGGAGCATTGGGTCACACCAATATGTGCATATCAGTTTACTTACTCCAGTGGACCCGAATATATCGGACGTACCATGCGCCAGCTTATGTAAGGCACCCACGAACACTACCCAACTTGGCTGATAAGAGGAGAACGGAAATGCATCCTCAGCTCTTCAAAAGAACAGTTGGTAAACTTAGGAAATTTGATTTATGTTGATAAGTCCTTCAAAACTTTGTACAAAATGCGACCACGCCACTCGAAGAGCTTGAGACTGAGACATGTGAGAATAGCTGAAGCACTAGTAATTCAAAAGATAAAACCATCATTGTGCGTTTAAAAGAAGTACGTACAACCTCGTTCTTTGCGATGACCATCGTAGATTAGAGGTCACTCCAGATAACCCACATATGACGCAACTTTCCTAACTTCGTAATCTTTTTGTTTATTTCCTAATTTATGATGCAAGTTATATTGACCTTTGACCAGAAATTACTCCGGAATATCCTATTCTTGTTACTACATATTCAAAAATGTACAGCTAAGAGGATGATTTCGTTGGAAAGACAAATTTTTCTTCGCTTTAATTGTCTTTTGTGTTTTCCTATGTTCAGATGGGATTGTTTCAATACTAGGTTAGTTAACTAGAACTTGTAATTTAGGATTATCCACGAAAAACAAGATTTCTAATCGTGTTTTTGTATTAACACGACATTCGAATACTCAAACGAGCAAACTATCCCGACGGTGCATTGAATTGAAATCATTCTGTCATGAGCAGAGTATAAAGTCAGTCATAGTGGCACGTACAAGTATGCTGGATAGTAATATGAAGGCACATTCAGCTCTGGTATGTAGATTCGGTTAGAATTGATTTAGACTTACAAAAATGGACTATAAATTCACACGTATTCAAGTTTTTGTCGCAATTATTACTAATCACCACGTAAAGTACGATACATTGTATGTCAGATGTCATCCTCAAAAATTGCAAGCACATCTCGAAAGTCTACAAGTAATTAAAAACTTCTGTAACACGAATTGATGTGGATGAGATCGGTCCCAGTAGCGCAGGTGCATCTACACCTTATCTACAACTTAATCTTTATATCGCACTTCATCATTACTTTACTAGTGTTTTACCCCCTCTTCCTCTCTTCTTATGACTCTCTGCAACCTCTGATTGTATGTCTACTTATCTTTTTTATTTTGCTGTAGCAATTTGGAGCACTAAACAGTAACGCTACGTCTTACGTTGTTTTTGACTGATATGATAATTTTTTCTTACAGTTTTACATAGGATATATTTCCTAACTTAGGTATCTAGTTTTATTTCATGGATTTCAACTTAGACTGGAACTGTCTTATCATATACTAACTTTTTCTTCTGTTCGAATATTTCAATGTGTTGGATTTTCGTCTTTTGTCTTACATTGAAACTGTGGTTTACTACGTGGCTGAGAGAAACTTATATATTTTTGAATGCATATCAGCTATTTTACTTTCGATGGTGTGATAAAAGCCAAGATACCTAACTATTCAAGGTTTACCTTACTAATTATTGTGACATTATGTTGTTGTACAGTACTTTAAACCAAACTTGTTTCCTTGGTTTTGCGTGAATCAAGTACGGAGTTTATAATTGTTGTGAGCGAGTGGTGGGGTTGCGCGCGTGGGTATAATGAATACTGAGACTCAATACACACCACAACCGAATACCTTTACGACTGACCTACCTCACTACCTTCTGCTTCACTGAGCCGCGGAAAAATCAAAAGACAAAGACGGCCTGTGACTGCAAAAACAGCGACAACAACTTTTATGACATAAATGTATTTACAAAACTCTCAGAAAGTAAAGCCATAAATGAACCAATCCGACTCCTTGTATGAGGTCGAACTTCTCCAATCAGGTTCTCATGTCAGCGCGTGCATAAATCCCGACCTGAACATGATCTGATCATGACTTGAAAACAACTCCCCTATTGGCTGTCTTTTGTCGCTACGTATCAATAATCACAGCCTATAAATGTCCGTTTGCCTGTGTTGTCAGGTGTAATTACATAAGACGGCAAAAGGTGCCTGCTATTATAAACTTACATTCGTGTAATATGCACAAAAAGTAAAACTGTAATACCACAATTTTAAACCTCACTTTACCTTTTGACAAATAGGAAAGACAGGCAATCTGAATACAGCAACGGATATCAGTTTGTCAATGTAAAGACAGCCAACTTAGGACGTCGGCGTACGAGATAGATGTTTTCTAGTCATATCCTAATTCATTCTAATTTAAAAGCTTCAGTTTGTACCGAATACAACCAACCCCTTCCGCACCATTTGTTTTGTGGAGTGAACACATTTATTAGTAATCTCAGTCACCGGTTTGAGATTTTCGAATCTGTGCAGCTTACGGAATTGTATGTTACAGAAACAAATAAGAATACTTTTAAACTCATTTTATTTTAGCGCTATGCATGTCTTTATTCTATCGTCTTAGTAATTGAATTCCGATCTAGTGTAGAAAATCAAATGTTTTTAAGTAGGATAACAATAACGTTAAACAGTATCAATATAAATTAAAATTTAGGTGTAAACCTGGTTACTGAAAGACGCTTCCATGTTGGTTGTTACTGTTTTATGATCAAACTGTCACCTGGAATCAACAGTGAAGTCGAAACGAATGCATTCAGAAGACTAAGATGTATATGCATCTTAATTTCACATCTTCGTAATTCCACAGGTCGAATTTGGAAACTTACTTCTAACATTTTCATTTTCAACACTTTATGCTAATTATTGTTGTGTTTACAAGCTGTAAGTTATAGGTGGTTGTTATATTGTTTGAATAAATGTTACCAAAGTAATTTACAGGATGTTTTTGTTCTCTACCAAAACAGTTTACAAAAAAACCCGGCATTGATTGGCATTTCCCTGTTATATTTTATTTAACAGTTGTCACCCTTCGTTGGTAGAATAGCCTTAAATTCGGTTTACTATCTCTGGAAAACCTGCCTCTATTTCACGCCTCAGATACTGCATCTTAGCGGAATGTTTGCAGTACTCATTATTTAGCAGATCGTAAGCATCATATAAACTGATTCTTGATTAATTATCTATTTCAAGAATGACTTGTTCTCAGCCTCGACTACTGTTTGCTAATCAATCGCCAATAGAAAAGAACTTCGGATGCCCATTGATGTAGAAAGTGCCGACTATTGAATCTAACTCAGGAAAAATTATTTGGTAATTTAGTGTGACCACAAAAATACTCATTTACTGAAAATGAAACAATAAGCACTATGAATATAATAGAGAGCAGACACTGAAAAAATAATAAAGACATAATTCGAAATTTCACGAGAAAAATATTATTCATATACTTACAAGTAGTTCAGTCGTACCATTTAATTTCATAGTGCACGAGCCTAATGGTATGCAAGAATGTGCTAGAGAGATATCTTTATTTTCAAGTCGCTTTATATACCGCAATAATTCAGTTTCAGAGTGGAAGGAATTAAACACAGGATGTGTTAAGTAATCATTCTTTCGGACCAAATGGGGATAAGTATTTATCGCGTTGGTTGGATTCGACTGATAGAAAATGGAAGGAAAAAATATACAATAAAGTCGTAAAACACTCAATGATACATGAAATTACCAACTATGCAAGTTAGGTTCAATCAATGCGCATTGCTTACGAATGAGACGAGAGTATTACATTCGGAGTGTTCATTTTGGAAATAAAATCTGTACATTCCAAACCTATAGCACACTGGTAAAAGAGAAACATGGGGAAATGCATATGCAATATTATGCAACCAGTTGGAATCAGAAAGTGAAAGTTTTGCTAAAGGACTACTTTCCAGAGATTTGAAGAAGTTCAGGTAGTTTCTAACTTTTCATCTATAAAGACATCGGCATGGTTTTGAAAAAATTAACAATGGGGAGATCATCACAGCTAAATAATGGGGATAATTCATGATGGTTGGGAAGGTCTACAAAAAATGTGACAGAAGGTCTAGTGGATACGATATCGACCTCTGAATTTATTCATATAATTGATGGAAAAGTGTACTTTCAAAATGTATCTATATCTTCATAATATGCGTTACAAAGTTTTATGACTTTTTTCGCGATTGAATCGAAATAGATTTACTACAAATTCTATAACTAAGGTATATTATGTCAGAGTCATCAAAGGGAAACGTAAACGTCTTACTAAAAAGTAGTTTTAAATTCCTGCATCCTAATACCAAACAGATTTGATAGAATTTCTATTTTCACATAATGGCATATTTTTACTGATGAATCTGCTTTCTCGTAATGTTCTTGGAAGTTATTCTTAATGGCACACAACCATACATTATCGTCATATGAATCTTTGAAAGCCTTATCTACCTTTTTAACTGTCTTTAGTACTCATTTGAGGTGAAGAATAGGTAGACATGTAGCCACACAATATCAGGGGTGTTGTAAGGCGCCAGTTTGGCAAAAAACACTGTTATTGATCCGAACATTTATAACTTGGCATTCTCATGCCATTTACGGTAGGACTAGAGGTTTATTTTCTGCCCCCATTTTAGTATTATTCACTGATTGGTTAATCCTTACTCTTACTATGCCAATCTCTCAAATTGTGGACAAGGTCAAGCTCATATGCGTACATATTCACGTGATTTGGGACTGAATTATTATCATATTCTCGGAGGAAAAACACGCTCCCATCATCGAGCTTCGGTCTTCTTTCTCATCGTCCCAGGGTTCCAGTCACTGGTGCCGGCACACGAAGCTGGCGGTCAGTTCAGCAGACGTCTTGTATTCGTCCCGAATATCTGAACGCTTCCGAAGAAGATAAAACAGGAGGATAATGTCGTTGAATACACAGCCCGCTGTTTCCAATTCCATTACTACTCCAAGAGCGAAAGCAAATTCAACTGATTGGAGTCCTAACAGGATCATTTCATCAATGGACAGTAAACGACATATATATATATATATATATATATATATATATATATATATATATATATATATGCGAGAGTCAATAATCCACTCCGATATTGTCACCCAGACAACAATTACGAGCACATTGAGTTTTGGAGTGGCTATCATGATGTCCCCAACAGCATCGAAGGCTCTCAGGCAATGGGGACCTATCTCCTCCAGCATCAGGATCATGACAGCAAGATTCAACTCGAAATGAAGAAAAGTCACAATCATAAAATGCTACGCTACGCACCTACAAATAATGCAGATGAAGAGAAGAAGGAGAAATTCTACAGACAACTGCAATCAATAACGGACAAGACTCCACCCCAGATGACGACATCAAAATTCTAATGGGTGGGGTGACATGAATGCCAAACTGGGAGTGGACAACACAGGAAGAGAACTCATCAGGAGTCGAGAGGCACTCGGTGAAATGATGAGTGAGAATGGAGAACTGTTTTTGCAGATTTCTGCGCATTCAGCGATTTGGTGATTGGAGGCGAGTTAGCGTATACAAGCACAAGGATATCCACAAAGCGACATGGATTTCACCAGACACCAGGTGGACACACTAAAAATCAGATCGACTTCATCTCAATCTGAAGAAAGTGGAGACGCAGCCTACTGGACACAAGATCATATCAAGAAGAGGAGCAGATGTAGTTCACACCACTCACAATCTAGTGCAAGGAACTTTCCTTCAAAACCAAGTTGAAAGCCTTCAAAGTAGTTGGTGATAGACCACAGTTCAAGTTCAACTCAACACCCAGGATAGAAACTGAACTGAAGGACGAGACTACAAAGGAAGTCTTCACGGCAGCCACTGAGACAAAATGCGAGAGATCGAGCAACATCCCTGAAGAAACCTGTGTGGAAGTCTTTGAAAGCTATGTTGAAAGAAACCTACATAACCGTGTTAGGAAGGAAGAAGAAGAAGAGTCAAGACAAGCAATGGATCTCGAAGGGTACATGGAAGCTGATAGAGCAGGGAGAGGAGGATGGTGAAGCAGAAGATGAACCAGTGCAGTGCAATGCAGGGATGAACAAAGAAAAGAGGAACTGAACACAACCAATAACCACTACACTGGACAAAGAAGTGAAGAGGAGTGCCTCCAAAGACAAAAGACACTTCTACCACACACTTGCAAGTGAAGCGGAACAAGCTGCAGGTAAGGTAGACCTGACAACACTATATCAAATAACCAGGCTAGTATCTGGGAAGAGATCAACTAAGATGAAATCAATGAGAGATAGTGAAGGAAACGTAGTTACCAAAGAGGAGGAACAAAGGAAACAATGGGCTGACCACTTCAGAAAACTCTTGAATCGACCACCACCAACACCTGCAATTCGTCTAGAAATACCATCTGCAGTCACAGAACTACCAGTGAACACAAATCCTCCGACAAAAGTAGAAGTCCTGAACGCCATTAAGCTACTGAAATGCGGAAAGCAGCAGAACCAGATGAAATTCCACCAGAAGCACTGAGAACAGACGCAGAAACTACAGAAGCGAACATGCACACACCACTACTGTAGAAGGTTTGCAATGAAGGAAGGAAAGGTACCTGCTGGTTGATTGGAAGAAGGGCCACCTTGTCAAACTTCCAAAGAAGGAGACGTAAGTCTTTGCAAGAACTGGCGCGCAATCATGCTCCTGTCCAGCAAAAGCAAGCAAAATATTATGCCGCATCATACTGAAGAGATTAAAACTACGACCGGAACAGGCTGAGTGGCTTCAGAAAGAACAAATCATGTACGAATCAAATTACAACGCTACACTACGCATCATCATCATCATCGTAGAACAGAGAATAGAATGGCAGTCAACTATCTACCTCAACTTCATCGACTTTGAAAAGGCCTTCGATCGAGGCGTCGACCGACAAGTAATTCGGTAGCTGCTTCAACACTACGGTTTTAGTGCCAAAAGCCTTTATCAACCTCATTCAACAACTATGTGAAGTCGCCACATGCCAAGTGATTCACAATGGAAAGCTCAGTGACGCCTTTGAAGTGAAGACAGGAGTAAGACGAGGCTGCCGCCTACTATCACCCATGATCTTCCTCATTGTGGTGGACTAGACTGGATCACACAACAAACTGTGAGAAGATGGGCATACGCTGGCTGGACCGATGAAAAGACCTTAAGAGAAGATTTGTATTTCGCCACCGATGATGATTTATGTCTAATGTCTTGTCGTACAAACTCGAAGATCTACATGCGAAAACTAACAAGTTAGTAGAAGAGGCAAGGCAGCGAAGGGAGACAGGACTTCAAGTGAACGTAGAGGAGACAGAGATGGTGAAGATACCCAGCCAACAACAACAACAACAACAACAACAACAATAACAACAAGCTGCAATCACCATCAACGGGAGAAACAAACCTAAAGGAACTGGTGTCTTTCACGCAGATTCCCAGGCAGCATCGTTTCAACTACAGGTGGCGGCACAAGCACAGATGAGGACGTCAAAGCCAGCCAGGATCGGAAAAGCTAGACAGGCGTTCATTAGCCTGAAACCAGTGTAGAGATCTTCTGCACTCAGCATGTGGAGCAAGATCCGGATTTTCAACACTAATTCAGTCAAGTCAGTGCTTCTGTATGGCTCACAGACTTGACGCGTTACGAAAGGGATTTCCAACAAACTATAGACATTCATCAACAACTGCCTACGCTGGCTCGTTACTGAAGATCAGATGACCAGAATAATGAGAATAAGCAACAAGGAACTCTGGTTCTGGGCAACGAACCAACCAACCAAGAACCTATCGCCCAACAAATATGCAGAAGGAAGTGGAGATGGATTGAACTTGGCATTCACTTAGAAGACTATTCGGGGACATCACGCACCAGTTACTCAAGTGGAACCCAGATGGGAAACGGCGAATTTGACGTCCGAGGGTGACATGGAGTAGATCGTGTGAGGAGGAAATGAGAGTTTGTGGGCTGTCGTGGAGCCAGGTTCAAACGATTTCAGAGAACAGAGTGGAATGTAGGCGTGCTACTCAAGCCCTATGTTCCATTAGGAACCTAAGGGACAAATAATAATAAAGTAGAGCGAATCTCAAGTTTGTTTCTCTGCTCAAATATCGGAGGTATGCTGTGTATTTAAAGTACAAGTGAAATTAATATATATGAGATAGATTCCTGCTGAGTGAGTGGGGTCATTAGGGAGGATGCTTGAGACCTAGGTTATATGCTAGTTTGAAGACAAAAAATGGAAATGACGATTCCTGAGGTACGTGAAGACATTTCACGTAAAACCACAGCAGCAGGCGTTATTGAGTTATTACACCAGTGACTCTTAGTAGTAGGATAGGTTGACTTCCTAAAAAAAAGAGCAACTGACTATAAATGAATAGTCTCACAGATGATATTAAAAGGCGAGTAGCTGACGCTGATTACATTTTTATTTACAGTAGGCGATAATATATTGTGATAACGGGGATTTATAGCTCGGCATGAAGACAATGACCACTTGATGCTATAAAAACTGTAAAATTTGAACCTAGAAGCTTTGTCAACAGGGTTAGCGAAATAAATCATCAGTGTTCATTTCAGAGTAAGGATTGCTTTAAATTCTATTTATGAATATGCACATGAAACACGGAATAATAATACTCACCTCTGGTGTCACTTGAGTTGCTTCGAAGATATACAGTAAATCATTGAAGTCAGCTGACGTCAGAGTTTCGTCAATTGATATTCCCACCTGAATATGACAGATATAAATATATATGATATGAATCTGATGCAAAAACGATCAAATAACTTTACACATTGAAGCTAATGTCTACTTGTGATCGGGTTCGACGTTTGTCGTAAAAAGGACAAAATATTGATTTCAAATTTTCTTTTATGGATATCTTATTACATGTATCAAATAGTTTAATTCACAAAGTGTGTGATTCCAATGGAAGATTAAACGAAACGATATCATTAGTTTAACACAGATTAGTCGACGAAAGACAACAAATGACGTATTCAAAGCTTCAGCACCGACAGATGCCAGCTGAATACACACAGCAGTGTAGCAAATGGAGTGGAGCAAGCTACTGAACACTGCAGTCTGCTGCTATTGCTGTTAAATGATCAAAAAGACTATTAGGCCTATGGCATAGAATCGGCTTACGTCAAGTGAATAACTCGAATGTAATTAATATTTTTAGTGCGAATTTTTTAGCAGTAAATCCTCTGACTAAACCAATCGAAAGCGCAGGATTGCATGTCTCTAAGTTTCTTTGCAACCAGTTTTAGTATAAACAGCAGTCCACGCATACTCTCTATAACTTATTTTCAGTAACCTGATAATAGTGTTTCGAAATGACTTAGCGTAAATATGTTTAGTATGAAGACACAGGTAACTTTAGGATTGAAACGAAGTTGAAAGTCAGCGGCCTAAAATCCTAAAGACAACAAAGAAGGAATGTAATGAAGCCTCCAATGATCGCATAGACTTATCTTGTTAGTAGGAGGTTATTGATAACTGGTCAGTTTTTATTGAATCAATGCAACAAGGAAAAATCACCGTTGTAAACAGAAAATCAGCTTTGCGCCCGTTGGTAAAATTTTTTTGATTACTTACTGGCCTTTTCGTCATAATTAACTAAGTATTAATGGTTTGATAAGTCGTTAAAACCTATATTATCGGGACTATATTCACTTATTATTTTAACATTTTGTATTGCCACTGAGTTAGGCAGTAGATCAGACTCTCGGCATACACTTAGTTATCCAATGAGACCACCTATTCTAGTGTGTAGTTAGGTAAGCAGTATTAGCAGTCTTTCTGTATAGACTCGGTTCATAGACAGTTGGGAAATAATAATAATAATTTAATACGTGACTCAACCTCGCCTGGTTAACTAGTTTACTAGTTACTAGCCGGTCCTAAGCCCGGGTAAAGAGGGAAGGTTGGGCATAGGGCTAGCAACCCTACCCCGTAAAACAAATCTAACCGCTAAAGAAACTTCAAAGCACAAACAAAATATAAAAAATGAAAACAAACTTATTCCCCGCTGGAATCGGAGAGGCGAAATGACGCCAGTTGGTGAAAGCCTACGGGAAGCCAATTGGCCGATGTGTCTTCTCTCGATGAAAGCGAAAGTTAACGTGGGGACATGGAATGTCCGTACGATGTTTGAACCCAGTAAGGCAGCCCAGATTGCAAGGGAGATGAGAAGGTATAACATCGAAGTGCTTGGGATTTGCGAAAGCAGATGGAATGGGAGTGGACTCTCCAAACTGTCAACTGGAGAATCAATAATCTACTCCGGTCACCCAGACGCCAACCACGAGCACACTGAGGGAGTGGCTATCATGATGTCCTGAAGAGCATCGAAGGCTCTCATGCAGTGGGAACCAATCTCCTCCAGGATCATGACAGCAAGGTTCAACTCAAAAGGAAGAAAGGTCACAATCATACAATGTTATGCACCTACAAATAATGCAGAGCAAGAGAAAAAGGAGGATTTCTACAGACAACTTCAATCAACACTGGACAAGACGTCAGTTGGCGATATCAAAATTCTGATGGGCGACATGAATGCCAAACTGGGAGGGGACAACACGGGAAGAGAACTAACCATGGGTCGAGAGGCACTAGGTGAAATGAATGAGAATGGAGAATTGTTTGCAGAATTCTGCGCATTCAACGATTTGGTGATTGGAGGCAGTGTGTTCAGGCACAAAGATATCCACAAAGCGACATGGATTTCACCAGATGGACACACTAAAAATCAAATCGACTTTATCTCAATCTCAAGAAAATGGAGACGCAGTCTACTTAACACAAGGTCAAGAAGAGGAGCAGATGTAGGTTCAGACCACTACCTAGTGCAAGGAACCTTCCAAATCAAGTTAAAAGCCTTCAAGGAAGCTGGTGATAGACCTCAACCCAAGTACAACACTCGGAAACTGAAGGATGAAACTACAAAGGAGATCTTCAAAGCAGCCATCAAGACAAAATGGGAGACATCGAGGGACATCCCTGAAGAAACCTGTGTGGAAGAACACTGGAAGTCTTTGAAAGCTATGTGGAAAGAAACCTGCACAACAGTATTAGGAAGGAAGAGGAAAGAAGACAAGGAATGGATCTCGACAGATACCTGGAAGCTGATAGAGGAGAGGAGGATGGTGAAGCAGAAGATAAACCAGTGCAAGGATGCTCAACGACAAGATGAACTGAGCACAATGTATAAAACACTGGATAAAGAAGTGAAGAAGAGTGCACGCAAAGACAAAAGACACTTCTACGAAACACTGGCAAGTGAAGCAGAACAGGCTGCAGGTAAGAGAGACCTGACGACATTGTATCAAATAACCAGGTTGCTATCAGGGAATAGACCAACACAGATGAAACCAATAAAAGATGAAGAAGGAAATTTAATTACGAAAGAAGAGAAACAGAGGAAACAATGGGCCGACCACTTCAAAAAGCTCTTGAATCGACCACCACCTGCACTTCGTCCAGAAATACCACCTGCAGCCGCTGAACTACAAGTGAACATTAATCCCCCAACGAAAATGGAAGTCCTGAACGCCATAAAGCTACTGAAATGCGGGAAAGCAGCAGGACCAGATGGAATACCGCCAGAAGCACTGAAAACAGATGCAGAGACAACAGCGGACATGCTCACACCACTATTGCAGAAGGTGTGGAAGGAAGAGAAGGTACCTGACGATTGGAAGAAGGGTTACCTTGTCAAACTGCCGAAGAAGGGAGACCTCAGTGCTTGCAAGAACTGGCGCGGAATCACTCTCCTGTCCACCCCAAGTAAAATATTAAGCCGCATCATCCTGGAGAGGCTAAGGGATGCACTGGATTCAAAACTACGACCGGAACAGGCAGGCTTCAGGAAGTACAAATCATGTGCAGACCAAATTGCAACGCTTCGTATCATCATAGAACAGAGCATAGAATGGCAATCACCTCTCCACCTCAACTTCATCGACTTTGAGAAGGCCTTTGACAGCGTCGACCGAGAAGTAATTTGGAAACTGCTTCAATACTACGGAGTACCGCAAACCTTTATCAACCTCATTCAACAACTATATGAAGATGCTACATGCCAAGTAATCCACAATGGGAAGCTCAGTGATGCCTTTGAAGTGAAGACAGGAGTGAAACAAGGTTGCCTACTATCCCCCATGATATTCCTGATTGTGGTGGACTGGATCATGCAGCAAACAGTAGGCAGCGAGAAGAGGGGGATACACTGGACGACGGAAAAGAACCTAGAAGACTTGGATTTCGCCGATGACTTATGCCTAATGTCACACAAACTTGAAGATCTGCAGGCAAAAACTAACAAGTTGGCAGAAGAGGCAGCTAAGACGGGACTTCAGGTGAATATAGAGAAGACAGAAGTGATGAAGATACCGCACCACCACCATCAACAACAACAACAACAAACTCCAATCACTGTCAACGGGAGAAACTTAAAGGAAGTAACCTCCTTCACTTATCTAGGAAGCACTGTTTCAACTACAGGCGGGACGGACGAGGACGTCAAAGTCAGAATCGGAAAAGCAAGACAGGCGTTCATTAGCCTGAAACCAGTGTGGAGATCTCCTGCACTCAGCATGCGGAACAAGATACGGATTTTCAACACCAACGTCAAGTCAGTGCTCTTGTATGGCTCAGAGACTTGGCGCGTCACGAAAGGTATTTCCAATAAACTACAGACATTCATCAACAACTGCTTACGCTCGCTGCTGAAGATCAGATGGCCAGAAAAAATAAGCAACAAGGAACTCTGGGAACGAACCAACCAAGAACCTATCACGCAACAAATATGCAGGAAGAAGTGGAGATGGATTGGCCATGCACTGAGAAGGCCGACGGAGGACATCACGCGTCAGGCCCTCGAGTGGAATCCCCATGGGAAGCGACGAGTTGGACGTCCGAGGGTGACATGGAGGAGGTCGTGCGAGCAGGAAATGAGAGCTTCTGGGCTGTCGTGGAGCCAGGTTCAAAAGATCTCAGAGAACAGAGGTCACTGGAGGCGTGCTACTGAAGCCCTATGTTCCACTAGGAACCCAAGGGACTAATAATAATAATAATAATAATAATAATAATAATAATAATAATATAATAATAATAATAATAATAATAATAATAATACGTGACTCAGATACCTGTAAAATTTTCCTGCCCATAATACTAAGAAATATAGGAACCTAATATTACACAATTGACGTATGAAGGTTTAAGATTAACCTCGGTGTAGCTATGGTAAAAGAATATTTTACGGAAAGTTATCTGCTAAGCGACATTTTTCCCTTTGCAGTATGGAAGTATGCTCTACCATTATGCTTAAGTTCTACTCATATTATGTTATTTTGTCAGGTAGAATAAGCGTTTTCAGTATAATCCTAAGAAGACTTGCCAGGCAAATCAAAGATATCTTTCACCATATTTTACTCAGAGTGATCAAAGTTTTCATATTCACTTATCAATAAAATTTTGACCCTATATCAAGAATGAAACTTGATGTTTTCCAAATTATGTCTTTTGTTAAGAGAAAGAATGATAGCTATATGTGAAGGTGAGCTGAAGCATTTAGTTAAGCTGGACTAAGCAACAATTCAGCTTTTAATTTGCAGTCTTGCTCAGTTTTTAGTGGAAAATTGTGCGTCATCTACTCTGAAAGATCCCACGACTTTGCTATGAAATCGCGCTGGTAGAGTAAAAGTTTTCACTTGTTTGGTAAAAAAACATCACTGTATGCTATATCAGCAGAAGAAAGGAAAATGTCATTTGTAGGTAGGTATGATAGGTCACATTATTTCACTTATTTCAAGATATATGACTAACTTCATAGTATTATCATTTAGCTCAGCTCAAGAGCTTTTTACTGACCTCTTGCTCATTGCCATGCACCATATAGTTCTGAAACAGCTGGATGTCAAGCGAAGTCAATTTTTTGGCAACATTTCATTCTCTAGGTCTGAAAACATTTATTTTATTTTAATGAATTATGGTACATAATGGAAATATCATTCACTTGTATCCATTTTTTGGCATGGACCGAAGACCCAAAAGGACAGTGAGCAGATAATTCTTTTCCACAGCACGCAGCTGGGTGGTGGGAGAGGAAATGTGTGACTAATTGTGTGGGTGAATTTAATAGTGAGACGTAGAAGTTATGGGTGAAATTATTCACATGCATAACCAGCGTTTCCGGCAAATGCGTATAACACATGCACGATCAGAAGTTTATCAGTCTATTACAACGCTCTCATGGATGTATCAGCTCCTAAAACATAACTATGACCAAGTGTTCATCGTATCGTTATGTGGACGACACTTTTGTCATCATTAAATAAGATGATATAGAAAACACTCACAGTTTGATCACCGTTTTCAATGACATCAAATTCACAATGGAGAAAGAGTCAAACAGCCAACTACCATTCCTGGATGTTTTAGTCAGTAGGACAAATGCCAGAAAGCCGGAAACTCAAGGGTACAGGAAGGCAACACACACTGATCAAATCCTCAACTACAATTGTAACAACCCAACAACACACAAGATCAGTTGCGTGCAGATTCTATTCAAAAGAGTGAGAACACACTGCAGCACAACAACTTCACGGAGAAACGAAGAAAATTACTTGATGTCCACCCACGAAACTTTACCAGAAGATGCCTATCCAGTGCATCATCAACTACAAAGTTATCGACAGAAATCAATAAACACATCGTCCTACCATAATAAAGAATATATCAGAAATCACGACAAGATTGCAGAGACCACTTGGAATTGGTGTGGCTCATATACCAATGAATTCCCTCCAAACACTATTATGCAGACCAGAGGATGCAGCAAGCAAAGACAAACCGAATATCATTTACAAAATCAATTGCAACAACTGTGGTCAACACTACATTGGACAAAGTGGTCGCCCTCTTCACCTTCGTCTACATGAGCACCGATTGGCTTTTAAACGCAACGACGTTTCGTCACTCATTTCAATGCACGTGGATAACAACTATGGACATGAATTCAGTTTCGACAATGTAGAAATTTTGTACAGAGGAAACACAAAGAATATCAGAGAATTTCTAGAAGCTTGGCATTCAGGTCAGTCAGTCAGCAATCAATAGATGTATGGACATAGACCCGATCTATCAACCAATAGGAAAAATGATAAACGACAGAAAGGTCAGAGGTGAAGCAGAGGAACAGCCAATAGGAAAGTCTATACAATCAATGGCACGACAATAGAAGAAAACAACCAATCACAGACCACATTGTCAGACCTAGCTACTAAATCACTCACGGAAAGATATTGATTGCTCACTTCATACTAAAGTTAGTGCTGATGATGTCGTCTGGAAAAACGATGAAAGCTTCACAACTAAACAACCCAGCTCAGAGAACACAATACAATCAAGACCATCCATCTGAGCTACAAATATTCTCCATTATTTCAGGACCAATTAGGGTTTAGTATCCTAAACCACGGTAAAAATAAGTGAAATTGCATAGGACAAAAAGGACGTGAAAATACTGTTCTAGGTTAACAATGATAATATATACATACTATAAGTTAGTTTTTCTTCAGGATTAGGCATTCTTCATAGTTTCTATAGAGCCAACTCTTATGAACTGACTGATTGTCGAGAATAGCAAACGATGTCCAACTTTAAAAACATATGCATACTGTAGGCGACTAGATAACGTTTTGAGAGAGAGCAATGAGATTTCTATAAAACATTTTTAAATAGTGCAAATTACTGAGACACAAAGGTTCTAAATGGGGGGAATCCCTGTGTACGTTTCCATATTTTTCGTCAGATAGTCAACAGAGGAGATTTTTTACTCACTTCTGTTAATAATATTTTTTTTGTGTACTTTTCAAAATCAACATACCGCCTCTCCATCTGGATAATATAAAAGATTTATCTGTTTCTCCATTGCTCTTCTTCGTATTGATGAAAGGCCATTCGTTTTAGTTGTCGGATATATTTTGATGGTATCAAACACCGCAGTCTGATTAGCAACCTGTAGTTTGCAAATGCATACGATACAGCAAGCTAACATGAAATGCATAAAGGCACGGGAATGATTATGTCGTTCATAAGAACGTAGGTCACGAAAAATAATTCTCTTAGATTTTGTTGAATCACGTTGGATACTGATAGTTAGGCTTTAAGCTCAAAATTGTTACAGAACCGATTATATTAACGTAACGCTGCAGTCGCAATACACTGTCGTCAGTAGTCAATTCTGTCAATTTGAGAAACGATGAAAGGTTTGTAATGTTACATTTCAAGTTAATCCGATTAACTTTAACTTATCAGAGACTATGTATATAATGAAGTTAAACAAATAACAAACAACAGCCATCTAGTGTTCTCTGCTATAATCTACGGGAGCGGTCACTTGCTCTCTATCCACTTATTCTTAAGCGATCCCATCCAGCTACATGTTTGATTCTTTGGAATCCTAATTCTACGCAGTTGTCCCGGAAACTCAACGCCTGATAGTCATTAAGGAGCAGCTGTAATACTTGGATGCTTTGGCTAAGGAATTGCAGTATAATAATATTACACCTCCAGATTTCACCCTGAAACAGTTAATTAGTCGCGCGGAAACCACTAACTTCAACAATGAAAACATCTTTGTTGCAGTAAGCTTAAAATGTACAGAAATGCTTCAAACTTCTTGATGTCAAAGTGAAGTTCACTGCGTTAACAACAGATATTCAACACTGATGGAGCATAATTGGACTGATATTTTAACAATCCATGAGAATATTATTACTGGAATTTTTGAGATTTATAGGCTTTAGAATCGTTACGATATTGTTTTGGTGAATAGTCAAGCACTTATTTGAAAAAAAACCTTAGGATAAATATCTTAAAGGCTTTCTTATTGACTAGCATTGACTTCAGTGCAACCATAAACATTTTTTCTTCTCAAAAACTTGTTTCGGTTGGAATTCTATCGTTCTACCCATCCATAGAACTCAAGAAAACTCCCAAATGGTTTCCGCCACGGAATAACACCAGCTAGAAAATCATTGAAAGGGTGGCAGAGTGGAAGACTGTTCGTCCTAGTTTGAGACTCCTAAGCAGTGTGTACCCATGACTCCATGAGTAATCGAGCCTAGGACCATCATTTTCCACTGTGTTTTTTACCACTCAGTCAATGGGTCAGAGTTCAGTGATTCATGTTTCTCAACTTCCGTCAATTTGTGACATAATGCAACCATCGTCAAACACAATCGGCGAGTATTTTTCCTTTCATCTGACTTGATTGACCCCATAGGTCACAACTTCTCACTGGAACTTCTGTCTCGAAGCTAATCACTAGCCAGAATTCAATTGTTATTCACCTTAGAGGTTTGTGGGGAATCCGTAGCATAGCATATAATATTATGCTATTCATCAAAAATTCAAACCTACTAATATGATTTTGTTTTGAACATTGTTTCTGGTGGTTGTTTGTTATAGATAGCCATTTGAGACGGACAACTAATAACTAGTTTTTAATGAAGTAGTCCACTTGGTGGCTAGCAGAGGAATCCAGAACAAGTGTCCCGTCCTATTTGGGACTCATCAGCTTGGTGTACCTGCACCTCAGACAATGCTGTTCCTACGGGAACTCGAACTGCTTCAAACGTCAAAGCGTTAACCACTAGGGTATGAGAGCCGCCTGTTGTGCAACAGGTAACAGTTGTTGTTCATAGTGACTTCTTTAGCGCGTGGATTTGAATTCATAATGATTTATTCAGATTACTGTTTAAGTAAAACAGAGGTAATAAGAAGTAAAAATGAACAGTTCTTTTTAAGCTGCATCTTACCTAATTCATAACTTACTTTATAACCAGCATTTTCTAGTGCTGACGCCAGACGCAAAGTATTCCGATGGATACGGGAAGCGATTTGTCTTAATCCTTTAGAACCGTGATAAACAGCATAGAAACTAGCCATGTTAGCAAGCAATGCTTGAGCAGTACAAATATTACTTGTGGCTTTATCTCGACGAATATGCTGTTCTCTTGTTTGTAAGGCAAGTCGATAGGCTGGTTGGTCCATCATGTCCCTATTTTCGGAAGATATGAGTTTAAGATTTCATCTAAAAGCTGGGTTAGTTTTATCGAACCCCACAAAAATCAAAATGGTCGAGAAAGAAAATTGAACTTTCCTTCTTCACGTATCTGTCTGACCATAAAGAGGTTAATGAATATCATTTTGTATGGGGTAGGAATACTCAAAACCAAAAAAATTGAGAGCATTTGGTAACCATGGGATTAAAATATTAGATCGACCTTGATAAAACTATCTTGGCATAAATGCTGTTGAAGTTCAATCATGGTCTAGCCTTCTTCACTATACTTTATCTTACTCCTTTTGTACTGAGAAATCGTCAAACTGCGGTACAAATGTCTGGAAAACACTGTATATGTTGGGTCTTAGCTAGTTAAAATGGCCAGTGGTCGAGAAACTAGATATTTGTAGTTAAATCTTAAGAACACAGTTGCAAGTGTGTTCACTCTGTTTTACTGCGCATTACCTGATTATAGGATAATTCCGTATGACTTTGGTTAGGACTTGTTAGAAATTTTATGTCACTTCAGCACAAGCAAGAACAGCATAATAACACACAAGTGAATAAGGTTAGCAGTACAGAAAAAAAACCTAGTAGTATGTTTCACTATACTAACTATTATCATAGCTACCATGTGAATATGTGATAAAAGTCCATCCCGTGTGTTTTCATAGCATTTCCAAACGACTGTGAGCATTTGAGGAAAAATGTATCACGAACACCTACCCCATAATGATTCATAGTTTAGCTTCGGAATTGCAGGTGGAGAATGCCTTTAATATATTGTCAAGTACATCATAAGTGTAATACTTAAGACTTATGCAGTGAGACGAAAAATCAAACTTAGAACTTTGCGAAATATGCCACTATTGAACAACTTCAGTAGTACTGAACCAGCCATGTCAGTGATCTAAACATCCGGACGGCCGTTTCGCTCGTTCGGGGCTGAGCTCATCAGCGGTGGTGTTCTCGGCAAAACTCAGCATTCATAGAGACGAATTAGTTGAGTTGCATGGACCGGTATACAGATCAAATCGTTCTGCAGTACTTTTCTTCGCTAGTTTCATAATAATCTTGTGTCGGGGAGAGAACTTGTGATTTTGGCTGGAGTTTTCCAACGGAAACCCTGTTAACACCATAGCTGGGAAGTTATAAAACTACTCAGCTGGAAAAAATGTCAACGTGGACCGTGGGATTCTCAAATCAACTGCAAATTAATCATCGTAACTTAGAATCTTGCGTAGAATTGCATTAGTTCGTGTTGCTTCACATCATGATAGCACAAAAAGAGGGAGTGGGTGGAAGCTGAGAATGGTGTACGAGGAGAGACAAAAATAAACAGCAATGATAGAAATACTCAGAATTTAAATGAAAAAGGATGTATACATTGCACCAATCTGACCAACTTTCAGCAATATCACTAATAGCCGTCAAACATCAACTCGTACCATCTCGGGATTCTATTCAGACAACCGGCATAACTTAGAGAACGAGTTCGAGATTCATGGGATAGTACCATATCTTGGTCTGGCAACCTCTAGCTTTTTTCCAAACAAATCGTGGTTCGAAAAATATCATACTACGAGTTAAGCATCGACTCAGGATACACGACACATGTCTAAGCTACTTCAGTCAATAAATGTTTACAGCCTTATCGACTGACTTGCCTAACCTCACCACTGCTCATACGGTGGTTCCACTACAGTAAAACAACGGAGATACCTATCATCAGAAAATTGTAGTCTTCTCATGCATTAAGAAAAATACTTATGTAAGCCTTAATTTGCTTCAATAACGGAAGCAAGCTTTAGTTTCGTCACCGAAACCTTAGCACCGGGGGTTGAATGAACAGTTGCAAATTGCCCTAACGTCTAGTGTTACGATCTGGCTTCCTTGCTGCATTCAGTACGCTAAATATTAAATTACTCTTGACTCATTTTTATGTCGACATGGATATGGTAGTGTCATTGTAAACATGTAACTAACTATAATACGCATATTCCTATTCGTAGAAAAAAGCGGACCGACCAAAGACAATCTCCAACATATTTATATTGACAGTAACGTAGCAATTGCGGTGCAGACATGGTAATATGTAAAAGAAAACCAATAGGATTATAAAATAGTCATAATATCATATGGCAGGGAAAACCAATGAAAGTATCTTTAAGCATCAAAACTTAGCGACTTCATCAGATATTACCATTGACTTATGTATGCACACATGCCTATCTGACAATCGCAATCATCTGTAAAGCCCCACCCTAGCAACGTTAGGTTTTTTAAATCCCAGTTGGAGTGGTTTTTAGGGATTTTTTATGGAAAACTAGCTCTCAGATGAAATATTAAAACAGCGTCAGTTATTTCAGTAGTTGCTGGGGGCAGACTTTCAGTCATACCTCTTTATTAGCTTGCATCAGGATCACCAACCTTTTCGCCGTATCATTATCATTTAGAAGTGGTCATGAGCTTGTTAACTACAAGTCACTCCTACAAATGACTCTCAAGTCCACATTACAACGACTAAATTAGCCAATTGGGTTTTTAATTTCTCTGAAAAGTCTGATTGGTTATTTCAGTTGTTGTAAGGATGATGTTTTGAGCGACTGGACTTTCTGGTCAAGCTTGAATATTCTGGTTGTGTACTTTTAAAAATTCAACATGCCATATTTCCTTATCAAACCTTCTGACCAATTTCAATAGTTCTGAAACACTGCAAAAGGTTTCAGTAAGCTATTAGACAAAATGAGTTACGATGATATACATATGTATCCTATTCTCAATTCTTATTTCGGGATTCCCTCCACACTTCTATAATATACTATTTATTATTCTTTGACCATTGGGTTCCTAGTGCAACACAGGGCTTCAGTAGCACATCTCCATTCCACCCTAGCTGAGTGAAACAATAATATGCATAAACATAAGAATAATAACAAAGAGAAGATTTAGTAAGCGATTGTGTACTTCGTTGTCAATACCGACTCATAATTTTTATTTGGACTGTGATACTACCTGAATGTCTAGATCCAAGCAGATGGTAGCGTAGTACGATCACTCCTGGAGCCTTTATCTTGGCATCTGTTCCACAAGGCAGTGGAGCAACGTAAGGTATTACGATCGCATGGTTGCCACTGACAAGGGTAGTTTCATAGGCCGTTTTCCATTTTGGAACGTCGAGCTCATCAGTTGCTCCTTTTTTAGGAAGCCAACTCATCCTAATAAGAGTCACCGGTGAATTAACTCAATAACGCCTGCTGCTGTGGTTTTACGTGAAATGTCTTCACGTACCTCAGGAATCGTCATTTCCATTTTTTGTCTTCAAACTAGCATATAACCTAGGTCTCAAGCATCCTCCCTAATGACCCCACTCACTCAGCAGGAATCTATCTCATATATATTAATTTCACTTGTACTTTAAATACACAGCATACCTCCGATATTTGAGCAGAGAAACAAACTTGAGATTCGCTCTACTTTATTATTATTTGTCCCTTAGGTTCCTAATGGAACATAGGGCTTGAGTAGCACGCCTACATTCCACTCTGTTCTCTGAAATCGTTTGAACCTGGCTCCACGACAGCCCACAAACTCTCATTTCCTCCTCACACGATCTACTCCATGTCACCCTCGGACGTCAAATTCGCCGTTTCCCATCTGGGTTCCACTTGAGTAACTGGTGCGTGATGTCCCCGAATAGTCTTCTAAGTGAATGCCAAGTTCAATCCATCTCCACTTCCTTCTGCATATTTGTTGGGCGATAGGTTCTTGGTTGGTTGGTTCGTTGCCCAGAACCAGAGTTCCTTGTTGCTTATTCTCATTATTCTGGTCATCTGATCTTCAGTAACGAGCCAGCGTAGGCAGTTGTTGATGAATGTCTATAGTTTGTTGGAAATCCCTTTCGTAACGCGTCAAGTCTGTGAGCCATACAGAAGCACTGACTTGACTGAATTAGTGTTGAAAATCCGGATCTTGCTCCACATGCTGAGTGCAGAAGATCTCTACACTGGTTTCAGGCTAATGAACGCCTGTCTAGCTTTTCCGATCCTGGCTGGCTTTGACGTCCTCATCTGTGCTTGTGCCGCCACCTGTAGTTGAAACGATGCTGCCTGGGAATCTGCGTGAAAGACACCAGTTCCTTTAGGTTTGTTTCTCCCGTTGATGGTGATTGCAGCTTGTTGTTATTGTTGTTGTTGTTGTTGTTGTTGTTGTTGGCTGGGTATCTTCACCATCTCTGTCTCCTCTACGTTCACTTGAAGTCCTGTCTCCCTTCGCTGCCTTGCCTCTTCTACTAACTTGTTAGTTTTCGCATGTAGATCTTCGAGTTTGTACGACAAGACATTAGACATAAATCATCATCGGTGGCGAAATACAAATCTTCTCTTAAGGTCTTTTCATCGGTCCAGCCAGCGTATGCCCATCTTCTCACAGTTTGTTGTGTGATCCAGTCTAGTCCACCACAATGAGGAAGATCATGGGTGATAGTAGGCGGCAGCCTCGTCTTACTCCTGTCTTCACTTCAAAGGCGTCACTGAGCTTTCCATTGTGAATCACTTGGCATGTGGCGACTTCACATAGTTGTTGAATGAGGTTGATAAAGGCTTTTGGCACTAAAACCGTAGTGTTGAAGCAGCTACCGAATTACTTGTCGGTCGACGCCTCGATCGAAGGCCTTTTCAAAGTCGATGAAGTTGAGGTAGATAGTTGACTGCCATTCTATTCTCTGTTCTACGATGATGATGATGATGCGTAGTGTAGCGTTGTAATTTGATTCGTACATGATTTGTTCTTTCTGAAGCCACTCAGCCTGTTCCGGTCGTAGTTTTGAATCCAGAGTACATTTTAATCTCTTCAGTATGATGCGGCATAATATTTTGCTTGCTTTTGCTGGACAGGAGCATGATTGCGCGCCAGTTCTTGCAAAGACTTACGTCTCTCTTCTTTGGAAGTTTGACAAGGTGGCCCTTCTTCCAATCAACCAGCAGGTACCTTTCCTTCCTTCATTGCAAACCTTCTACAGTAGTGGTGTGTGCATGTTCGCTTCTGTAGTTTCTGCGTCTGTTCTCAGTGCTTCTGGTGGAATTTCATCTGGTTCTGCTGCTTTCCGCATTTCAGTAGCTTAATGGCGTTCAGGACTTCTACTTTTGTCGGAGGATTTGTGTTCACTGGTAGTTCTGTGACTGCAGATGGTATTTCTAGACGAATTGCAGGTGTTGGTGGTGGTCGATTCAAGAGTTTTCTGAAGTGGTCAGCCCATTGTTTCCTTTGTTCCTCCTCTTTGGTAACTACGTTTCCTTCACTATCTCTCATTGATTTCATCTTAGTTGATCTCTTCCCAGATACTAGCCTGGTTATTTGATATAGTGTTGTCAGGTCTACCTTACCTGCAGCTTGTTCCGCTTCACTTGCAAGTGTGTGGTAGAAGTGTCTTTTGTCTTTGGAGGCACTCCTCTTCACTTCTTTGTCCAGTGTAGTGGTTATTGGTTGTGTTCAGTTCCTCTTTTCTTTGTTCATCCCTGCATTGCACTGCACTGGTTCATCTTCTGCTTCACCATCCTCCTCTCCCTGCTCTATCAGCTTCCATGTACCCTTCGAGATCCATTGCTTGTCTTGACTCTTCTTCTTCTTCCTTCCTAACACGGTTATGTAGGTTTCTTTCAACATAGCTTTCAAAGACTTCCACACAGGTTTCTTCAGGGATGTTGCTCGATCTCTCGCATTTTGTCTCAGTGGCTGCCGTGAAGACTTCCTTTGTAGTCTCGTCCTTCAGTTCAGTTTCTATCCTGGGTGTTGAGTTGAACTTGAACTGTGGTCTATCACCAACTACTTTGAAGGCTTTCAACTTGGTTTTGAAGGAAAGTTCCTTGCACTAGATTGTGAGTGGTGTGAACCTACATCTGCTCCTCTTCTTGATATGATCTTGTGTCCAGTAGGCTGCGTCTCCACTTTCTTCAGATTGAGATGAAGTCGATCTGATTTTTAGTGTGTCCACCTGGTGTCTGGTGAAATCCATGTCGCTTTGTGGATATCCTTGTGCTTGTATACGCTAACTCGCCTCCAATCACCAAATCGTTGAATGCGCAGAAATCTGCAAAAACAGTTCTCCATTCTCACTCATCATTTCACCGAGTGCCTCTCGACTCCTGATGAGTTCTCTTCCTGTGTTGTCCACTCCCAGTTTGGCATTCATGTCACCCCACCCATTAGAATTTTGATGTCGTCATCTGGGGTGGAGTCTTGTCCGTTATTGATTGCAGTTGTCTGTAGAATTTCTCCTTCTTCTCTTCATCTGCATTATTTGTAGGTGCGTAGCGTAGCATTTTATGATTGTGACTTTTCTTCATTTCGAGTTGAATCTTGCTGTCATGATCCTGATGCTGGAGGAGATTGGTCCCCATTGCCTGAGAGCCTTCGATGCTGTTGGGGACATCATGATAGCCACTCCAAAACTCAATGTGCTCGTAATTGTTGTCTGGGTGACAATATCAGAGTGGATTATTGGCTCTGCAGTTGACAGTTTGGAGAGTCCACTTCCATTCTATCTGCTTTCGCAAATTCCTAACACTTCAATGCGATACCTTCTCATTTCCTTTTCAACCTGGGAAGCTTTGCTAGGTTCAAACATGGTGCGGGTATTCCATGTCCGTATGTTTACTTTAGGTTTCATCGAGGGAGAGAGAGAGGAAGACACATTGGTCAATTGGCTTCCCGAAAAAGGCTTTCAGTAACTGGCGTCATTTCATCTCCCCGATTCCAGCGAGGAATAGGTTTATGTCTTGTATTTACTCTGTGCTTTGGAGTTTCTTTAGTGGTTGGATTGGTTTTACGAGGTAGGGTTGCTAGACGTATGCCCAACCTTCCCTCTTTATCCGGGCTTAAAAGAGACTAGTTACTAGCGAAGTAATCAAGGAGACGAGTCTACTCTTATATATAGTTTTGTCAAACTTCATGTCGTTTATTTTGTATTGACTTTCTCTTTACGTGATGTCGTGACCTGTAACAACGTGAATGGTTGCACTTTGGGTTCGAGTTTTTACGTGGATTCTTCTGTGCATATACGTAGTTTCTGATGTTGATAAAGCTAGCGAACTTACAATAAATCACATTTTTCTAAAATATTATCTTCAACATAGGTCACATAATTTTCACATTTTAAAAGGGTTAGTGTAGATTGCGGAAACAGCTTAGATCTAATAACCGCACACTGAATTGATGTCGATGTAATATTGATACATTCCTTCATACTTGTTAAAACCAACCATATTGTACGAGATACGTTCATTGGTAGGAATGTTTCTCAGTAATCAGTGGTGAAATTCGTGCATAACAGTGATATTTGGTTGAAAGATAATTAATTAACTTACACCAATCTAAAAATGAGGCATAACTTACTTTGCTCTGGATGTGCCAACATCTACAGTTTGCGGATGACATTTTTTATCAACGAGAAACTTTTTCTTTTTGGTGTGCCTTTAGGTTAGGAATGGAAAAAAAATTCAAGATAAAATGACCTACAGAAAACAGATTGTGGAAATCAATAGTGTGATAATGTCAAACGTTTTGAACATATACCTAAGCAATGATAATAATGGCTGTTTTGCCAATGGTAGGAGATGAAAATAATCTCTCGTTTCGTACATTACATCAAAATGATTAGTAAACTAGTCATCTTTAGATATACCAGTTGAATTAGGAGGCTGTGACTGCTAACTGAATTTCAGTTTTTCTTCAGCTACCATTCTTCATTTCAGATCTGCCCTTATCAAGTATGACTATTCTGCTTGTAATTGTTTTCCCAAGTTAATTTCTTGCTACTTATAACCAGAGTTACTCAAATTTTCGTGTTAATTTAGAAAAAGCAAAGAACATGGAGACTTTATCACACCTTTCAGTTGCATGCACTACAGTAGAAAGAAATCGTACCGATAGTACACACTGGGAACAATTTTAGTATATACAATAGTAAACTGCAGACCAGGGCACTGCCACTCTTTCCCCTTTGCCGAATTGTTCAGATCAACTGAACCTAGCTAGCTGACTTGCACAAGTCAGCATACCTAAAATAGGATGACCAACTGTAGTTGTAAAACTAATTAGGTTTGAGAAGTATCAACATGGATTGTACAATTTGTAAATCATTTTCAAACCGAAGAAGAAAAACATGCCATGAAGTTTTCTGACGTTTCATTGTCGAGTTAAAATGATTAATCTAACAAAAGGTTAATATACGAAAAGCCAGACCATTTATGCTTTGACAGCTTTAGTTAGAACGTTCTCTGATAAAACAAGAGAAAAGGCTTCCGTCAGCATTCCTGAATGTGTAAAAAAAAGAAAGACGTTCTGGCAAGATTTGTCGACAAGGATATGAGGTATACGTAAGGTAGAGTAATCGCTCGAGTGCCCAGTGTATACCTAACAACTATTCGAAGGGGATAATGTACACAGGGTAGATTAGTGCAGACAACAAGTGCCATAAAACGAACTTACCACGCTTCAAACTTTACATTTCTCAATACTGCCAATCTGATTTTGTAAGGATCAAGGGTAAGGGTGTCAAACCTCAGTGCCTCTAATTGAATATACCTCTTAAAATATCCTCGCGGAACTAGTAATTCGTGCAGCAAATAACTGTCTGCTTTTAGAATTTAGCAGTTAATCAGCTAATCTTGATAAGTGGAAAAAAAGTCCGAAAGGACTATATCGTGAAACAACTTTTCGGTACTATCAAGTAACGAAGTTGTTAAGTCTTTTGTGTTTATTAGCATATAGCATATTGAAAGAAATTATCATGTTTACAAACTTCAATATTCAATTCCTTTAATGAAAACTCTACTTGACCGAATCTGCGGTGATAATTTCAGTTTGAACATTACACTTTCGTCAAATACTTATTCGGTAAGCAACTATGGCTACTGAGATGTCACCGATCGTCAGCCCGTAAAGGTTTCTCAAATAGCTCCAACGTGGTCTCTGACTGATCAGAAAAAAGTAGTCCTTTAAATTTTATGACTAAGTTCGTCTGTTTCAGTGCCTTCAGTTTGCAATAAATTGCAAGATGTGACTGTCAGCTGTTTGAGTATAATCGACAGAAAGCCCTGGACCTAATTTTCGGGCTTGTTGGCACTGAGCTATTCGGGTAGCGATTCACCTCCAGTAGGAGTGGGGACAGTTCCTCAAGTGAACAATAATAATAAGCGAACGATAATAAGGTCAACTGAGACACTCGGACTGGATACGAACAGTGACCAATTTCCCCTGATAACCTTATACTTCACTGAGCCGAAAAAATTAGAAGACAAAGGCCGGCCGATGGCTATAAGGAAGATACTGTATTTGAAAAGAAACACCAGTTATAAATACGATGTTCCTCAGAATATAACGCTAGTAGGTCAGAAGTTGGATAGTTATTTTGATTAGTCGGTTGTAGGACAAGAATCTTCAATACGGCTTTTCTTGATCACACAGTAACACGAAACAAAGGTAAAAATCCGAAACTTCTATCTTAGAGGCTGATGACTTAAAATGTTGATTTCCGCTTCCAATTAGTCCCCTTTGAGGGTAAAGATACGCCTTACTGACTGACAAGTGCCCAAATGCACGAAATCGTCACTCATGCCTTCCAGCCGATTATTTCAGCCAAATTATATCCAACAAAGCGCAACGCAGTGGTAAGTCTATCAGCTTGGTGGGAAGATTGCAAAATAATCCATAAATCTCCGTTAGCACTAAGCGACTAGACAACACAAATATGGTTTCCCCGTGACCAACCAGAGCAGATGTGTCCCTCATAGCAGAAGACTCAGCAGAAAATAACAGTGAAAAATCTTGTTTTTTAAAATCCTATAATTATTAATATAATCAATCCCCTGGGTTCCTAGTCGAACACGGCTTGAGTAGCACGCCTACATTCCACTCTGTTCTCTGAAATCGTTTGAACCTGGCTCCACGACAGCCCACAAACTCTCATTTCCTCCTCACACGATCTACTCCATGTCACCCTCGGACGTCAAATTCGCCGTTTCCCATCTGGGTTCCACTTGAGTAACTGGTGCGTGATGTCCCCGAATAGTCTTCTAAGAGAATGCCAAGTTCAATCCATCTCCACTTCCTTCTGCATATTTGTTGGGCGATAGGTTCTTGGTTGGTTGGTTCGTTGCCCAGAACCAGAGTTCCTTGTTGCTTATTCTCATTATTCTGGTCATCTGATCTTCAGTAACGAGCCAGCGTAGGCAGTTGTTGATGAATGTCTATAGTTTGTTGGAAATCCCTTTCGTAACGCGTCAAGTCTGTGAGCCATACAGAAGCACTGACTTGACTGAATTAGTGTTGAAAATCCGGATCTTGCTCACATGCTGAGTGCAGAAGATCTCTACACTGGTTTCAGGCTAATGAACGCCTGTCTAGCTTTTCCGATCCTGGCTGGCTTTGACGTCCTCATCTGTGCTTGTGCCGCCACCTGTAGTTGAAACGATGCTGCCTGGGAATCTGCGTGAAAGACACCAGTTCCTTTAGGTTTGTTTCTCCCGTTGATGGTGATTGCAGCTTGTTGTTATTGTTGTTGTTGTTGTTGTTGGCTGGGTATCTTCACCATCTCTGTCTCCTCTACGTTCACTTGAAGTCCTGTCTCCCTTCGCTGCCTTGCCTCTTCTACTAACTTGTTAGTTTTCGCATGTAGATCTTCGAGTTTGTACGACAAGACATTAGACATAAATCATCATCGGTGGCGAAATACAAATCTTCTCTTAAGGTCTTTTCATCGGTCCAGCCAGCGTATGCCCATCTTCTCACAGTTTGTTGTGTGATCCAGTCTAGTCCACCACAATGAGGAAGATCATGGGTGATAGTAGGCGGCAGCCTCGTCTTACTCCTGTCTTCACTTCAAAGGCGTCACTGAGCTTTCCATTGTGAATCACTTGGCATGTGGCGACTTCACATAGTTGTTGAATGAGGTTGATAAAGGCTTTTGGCACTAAAACCGTAGTGTTGAAGCAGCTACCGAATTACTTGTCGGTCGACGCCTCGATCGAAGGCCTTTTCAAAGTCGATGAAGTTGAGGTAGATAGTTGACTGCCATTCTATTCTCTGTTCTACGATGATGATGATGATGCGTAGTGTAGCGTTGTAATTTGATTCGTACATGATTTGTTCTTTCTGAAGCCACTCAGCCTGTTCCGGTCGTAGTTTTGAATCCAGAGTACATTTTAATCTCTTCAGTATGATGCGGCATAATATTTTGCTTGCTTTTGCTGGACAGGAGCATGATTGCGCGCCAGTTCTTGCAAAGACTTACGTCTCTCTTCTTTGGAAGTTTGACAAGGTGGCCCTTCTTCCAATCAACCAGCAGGTACCTTTCCTTCCTTCATTGCAAACCTTCTACAGTAGTGGTGTGTGCATGTTCGCTTCTGTAGTTTCTGCGTCTGTTCTCAGTGCTTCTGGTGGAATTTCATCTGGTTCTGCTGCTTTCCGGCATTTCAGTAGCTTAATGGCGTTCAGGACTTCTACTTTTGTCGGAGGATTTGTGTTCACTGGTAGTTCTGTGACTGCAGATGGTATTTCTAGACGAATTGCAGGTGTTGGTGGTGGTCGATTCAAGAGTTTTCTGAAGTGGTCAGCCCATTGTTTCCTTTGTTCCTCCTCTTTGGTAACTACGTTTCCTTCACTATCTCTCATTGATTTCATCTTAGTTGATCTCTTCCCAGATACTAGCCTGGTTATTTGATATAGTGTTGTCAGGTCTACCTTACCTGCAGCTTGTTCCGCTTCACTTGCAAGTGTGTGGTAGAAGTGTCTTTTGTCTTTGGAGGCACTCCTCTTCACTTCTTTGTCCAGTGTAGTGGTTATTGGTTGTGTTCAGTTCCTCTTTTCTTTGTTCATCCCTGCATTGCACTGCACTGGTTCATCTTCTGCTTCACCATCCTCCTCTCCCTGCTCTATCAGCTTCCATGTACCCTTCGAGATCCATTGCTTGTCTTGACTCTTCTTCTTCTTCCTTCCTAACACGGTTATGTAGGTTTCTTTCAACATAGCTTTCAAAGACTTCCACACAGGTTTCTTCAGGGATGTTGCTCGATCTCTCGCATTTTGTCTCAGTGGCTGCCGTGAAGACTTCCTTTGTAGTCTCGTCCTTCAGTTCAGTTTCTATCCTGGGTGTTGAGTTGAACTTGAACTGTGGTCTATCACCAACTACTTTGAAGGCTTTCAACTTGGTTTTGAAGGAAAGTTCCTTGCACTAGATTGTGAGTGGTGTGAACCTACATCTGCTCCTCTTCTTGATATGATCTTGTGTCCAGTAGGCTGCGTCTCCACTTTCTTCAGATTGAGATGAAGTCGATCTGATTTTTAGTGTGTCCACCTGGTGTCTGGTGAAATCCATGTCGCTTTGTGGATATCCTTGTGCTTGTATACGCTAACTCGCCTCCAATCACCAAATCGTTGAATGCGCAGAAATCTGCAAAAACAGTTCTCCATTCTCACTCATCATTTCACCGAGTGCCTCTCGACTCCTGATGAGTTCTCTTCCTGTGTTGTCCACTCCCAGTTTGGCATTCATGTCACCCCACCCATTAGAATTTTGATGTCGTCATCTGGGGTGGAGTCTTGTCCGTTATTGATTGCAGTTGTCTGTAGAATTTCTCCTTCTTCTCTTCATCTGCATTATTTGTAGGTGCGTAGCGTAGCATTTTATGATTGTGACTTTTCTTCATTTCGAGTTGAATCTTGCTGTCATGATCCTGATGCTGGAGGAGATTGGTCCCCATTGCCTGAGAGCCTTCGATGCTGTTGGGGACATCATGATAGCCACTCCAAAACTCAATGTGCTCGTAATTGTTGTCTGGGTGACAATATCAGAGTGGATTATTGGCTCTGCAGTTGACAGTTTGGAGAGTCCACTTCCATTCTATCTGCTTTCGCAAATTCCTAACACTTCAATGCGATACCTTCTCATTTCCTTTTCAACCTGGGAAGCTTTGCTAGGTTCAAACATGGTGCGGGTATTCCATGTCCGTATGTTTACTTTAGGTTTCATCGAGGGAGAGAGAGAGGAAGACACATTGGTCAATTGGCTTCCCGAAAAAGGCTTTCAGTAACTGGCGTCATTTCATCTCCCCGATTCCAGCGAGGAATAGGTTTATGTCTTGTATTTACTCTGTGCTTTGGAGTTTCTTTAGTGGTTGGATTGGTTTTACGAGGTAGGGTTGCTAGACGTATGCCCAACCTTCCCTCTTTATCCGGGCTTAAAAGAGACTAGTTACTAGCGTACTAGTGGAGTAGGAATATCTAATGCATGAGAAAAAGGGACGGATAATGTGTAGATATTATGCCTATAAAATTTAAACTGTATTTTTGCGCTACGGGCTTTTACTGATTGTTACCGCGGTAGATGATGTTAAACGCTGATTGGTCCGTTTTACGCTTTTAATGTGATATTTTGTTCTCCGTGACGAAGCCCATCTGGGGATTTAGAAACGAGTGAAATTTCGGTTGAGATTATTATTGAGTTGAAGTAAATTTACTTTCAATCCCATCGTCCCCTGATGTCAGGTGAATACCGAGTTGAGAAGTCATTGTTCTGTCGTTAAAGGCAGCATGTCGGATCGTTGCATAGTTATATATACTGTGGGTCGTAATAAATTCTACTAATTTTTTAATGTATTTTACACAGAATTTCACGGCGCATCTATGGAAGCCTGTTATCTTCAATTCATCAGGTGAAGACCATTCTGGATATACGAGCGTGACCAAGGAGTGGTGCACATTATTGGATATAAATTTTATATTTGCCAATGAAAATAATACTAGTGAACTGTTTGTTACATATATGAAAGTCTCCTACGTTAAAGGAAACAAACTGCTGCATAGGATATTCCGCCCAGCTCTAACGGTATTCCTCTATATTTATGTGAGTCAGAAAAAGGTTCCCTTTGAAGCTTCATAGATGACGAAAGGTTTGATTAAAACACAAATGAGTTTGAAGCACTATGTTTCACATTAAAAATTTACCTGACCGCCATACACATGGCTTCTGCAGATGCTGTGCCTTCATCCAGTAAAGAGGCGTTGGCTCTGGGTAATCCAGTTAAGTCGGATACCATTGTTTGATAATTGAACAATGCTTCTAAACGACCTTGGCTGATTTCCGGCTGGTAGGGTGTGTAAGCAGTATACCTATTGACAAGAGTTGAAGTAATTTAAAGTGATTACTGAGAAAATCAACTGATGTTTAATTCGTTGGAAGATGACTTTTAACTCAATTCAGACAAACGGCAGTCAAAAAGTTATTAATAACTGCTTCATTCTCATCAAAGCTAACTCCACGTCCTTCACATTCTGTTTTTATAGTTCTGCTTCTTATTCGTTTGCTGTGTGCGTAGTAAACTTTCCCAAATATGTCGAATAAGTATTTAGTTATTCCTATTGCATGTTTTCGATGTTGATTCCACAAAGAAGGTTTCAGTTATCAATCACTCCCTCCACTCCTCTGAGTTAGTTTCGATGACTGTTACTCTGTCCTATCTTGTTAAACACTGAAGTGAATTCGTGGACTTCCAAGACTTTAAGAGGGTAGAACTGTGAGCTTGAATAGTACCACATTGATATTAATATGGACGATAAATTCTGTTCGAAACGTCATCTAATGAAAAATACTGTATCGCTATGTGAATATCCAACAAACAACTTAACATGGAATCCCAAAGTACCACACTGCTCACGTTTTAAACTTACAACAACCCAGCTGTATTTAATTATTCGGTTATAAATACAGAAACAAGTAGAAAGAAGCAAGAGGCAGTCGCTCACTACGACTGAAGACCATATGCCAAAGAGTGTACGTCTAAGACATTCATCGTCATTAAGCAGCGCGAAAACTCGACACTTATGTGTTACGGGATACTGAATAGACACAGTGAAGTTCTTCATAGTAGTCAACAGACAAAAGACTTCATGCTTACTTCGAATTACCGGAGCTGTCACTATCCGACAAGTTCAACTTAAAATGTATGTGCAAAATGAGCAGGCTACTAATTTGTTACTGCCCTGATAATTACTGAGTTTTCACACTCTCATCTTTCATAAAACACTTTAATGCGCTCATTTCATGCTTGCCGCATCCATATTCATATTGACAATCGTTTGATTTTAACTGCATATGTTATAATTAGGACAATTTATCGCACCAGCTTGTCATTTTGTTAAGATAATATTTTCAAATAGTTATGTAACCCCTTCTACTTGTTCCTTAACTTATCTCACTAATTTGGGGACATTCCTCCCTGTGTCTTATATAATATCGCTTGAATTTACCACTTAAACCTTCTTTATATTCTGACTTGTCATGTTTTTGTGATCTTCAAAACACTAACTGGTATCTAGGACCTTCCCAAACAAGTTACGTTAATACTCGTTAAAGTGATTATTTACTGATTTATTCAGGTTGTGTGCAGTAAAACGACGTCATCTTGTTTTTCCAATGGTGTTCTCATTGCGTTATTCACGTTCATTAAGCGAACTAATTGTACGAAAAGCGATAACCACCAGTCAGTGGAAATATTTATTAGGAAGTGGTGAAATGTGTCAACCATTTCACTTACTTAGGGAGTTGCATCAACCCGCATAGGCTGGTTACTGACGAAATCTCAGCTCGGATACAAAAGACCCGTTTGGCATTCACTAACTTGGATCCTCTATGGTGCCGACTGGCGAGATATCCGACTATCTATCAGAAGGTGAGTATATACTGCTCTGCAGTCCATTCTGTCCTATTATACGGCTGTGAGATATAGCTGTTGAAAGTAGAAGGCATGAAGCGACTACAAGGTTTTGATCATAGATGCCTTCGTAACATTGCTCGCGTCTGGTGGGATCACCGTGTGGGCAGTGGTGAGGTCAAACGAAGGGTACTCGACAAGACAGGCAAGTTGATTGATGGGGTCGTGAACCTTAGTCGACTGAGGTGACCTGGAGATGTACTGCACATGCCAAGCCACTGCCTACTTAGATGTGCAATGCTGCGGGGACGTCGGATTACGTTGGGAGAGGATTTAAGGTGGTCAAACCAAGGTGTGGCACCAATCCATAAAGCCTCCGACCACTGGTCTGAATCACGTAGAGAGATGTAGACTGCCTGGTTCGGGTACTCAAGACGAGAGGAATCAGTGGTTGAGGACTCCTGGTGACATGGCTGAAAATATTGCGACTACCTTTATTTCAGCGGACACGGCTGTTCTATAAAATCGTTTGTTAGAAAAGTGTTAATAAGAAGTCAGTTAACATCTTGGAAACCCTACACAAAAAACCTCAGGTAGGGTCAAAGCACAGAACCAACTCTTAATCACTGTTTCGCACCACAGTGGATTCAAGCAGTGTTATTAAATCGCTTTGTCTCTCCTTAAATTCACCACCGATGACATTATTGAGATAGTTCCGAAGGAGGTGAGCAGTGGTTAAGTAGGTCAGCTACCAGTAGAATGACTTTTCAACCTTAAGTATGCGTATGATGTGGCCTTACTGTGAAGCATTACAAGCTATTCAAATTACTCAATCATTTGATGATCAGTACCTGTAAGCTTCGCACGTGCCTTGCACCATCGAAGGGTAAAGTACTTTTTAGAGATTGACTAGAGTCTGTACCCATCTTATCATTGTAGGTGAACTGTTAGGAACAGCATACAAATTCGTGTATATGGGTAGTTATGCGAGTGCTGGTTGAGGCATTACTGGTGACATCAATAACGGTATACGGAAATTAATAGCGACGAACCCTAATCTAGGTTACTATGCTTCAAAACGTTGCATGCACGAACAGTCATTGAAGGCAATTACGCTCTACGACAGTGAAACCTAATCTCTTGGCGTTCAATATGACTGTGTGTTCCGACACCGTTGCCTCCAAAGGATCGCTGACATCCGGTGAGAACAACATAAAAGTGGTTTTTAGGTACATTGTTGCATATTTAGATATGGTAGAGATCGTTTTTTATTGAGTAAAGTTATCTCCAAACACTCGTCTTCGCAGCGTGGATATTTGCTAAGAATGTCGTATGTACAAACGGTTCCCTTACCATTCGCTGCCTGCCAGCACTGGAACTGGTTGAAAATAGTGAAGTGGTCAGTGTACAATATGCAACCATGACATGAAAAGTATTTATGTTGGGTAGGGACTGCTGGTGCCACAAAACTACTTGGATGGAGTCTAAGAGATCATAAGACTAAATGGCTTGAGGTGATAGAGGATATCGCTTGGAATCGAATTCGGATGCTGTCACATTGTCGCTTGCTTTCATATTCTATTTACTGAAAGTTACACACAAGCAATGAAAGCTTTACTGAACGTTTTTATGGAATCAATGGTCCGTTCATTCCTTTATAATCATTTTTTTATGTTTTGAACTCTACAATACTGTTATATGGTGCTTTTTGGATCATTTCTTGGTACAAAACCGTAACGAGTTTGTGTTTAAATAACGTAAATTACTAAGTAAATTATCGACTCATTTTCTGGAAGTAAGAGTCATTTTTACGCAGGGTGTACTGGTCAGATATATGCGTCTCTAACACTAACGAAGTCTGTTCTATAGTAGGGATTTGGGTTTATGTCAAGTAAGGTGATAATATCATCAGTGTTTTTTTGAGTTGCATATGGACTGCCTTAGGACTGGAATAGGCACTCCAAGCTGTTATTCACCACTGATCAAAGGATCAGTGCGTTACATCACTGAATGCTTCTCAACTGCAGAAACAAGAGAATAGATTCCTAGCTATTTGTAATAGACTACCTAAGTTTCAAAAATGCCTTAACAAGCAGAGTAGTACTAAAAATTTACTCTACCGCATTAATTCACTGACTGAAAATATCGTAATCGAATGCAATATGCTGACTTACCAGCCAGGATTTTCAAATATATTGCGCTGTATAACACTAGGCGTTATCGTACCATAGTATCCTTGTCCTATATATGACCGCCAAACATGATTCTTGTTCATGATCAAGTGCAATTTTCGAATCAGCTCCGCTTCACCTTAAAGATCCAAAAGTCGCAATTTACAGGTCATACGAATCATACCTCTGTGTAATAACAGTGAATCTAATAGCCAAAGTTGAATTACTGTTTGATAATTGATCACCACTTTTACTTCTCAACTTTAATGCAAGATGCAACTGTTCATATTATCATACACATATTAGAATAAGAGTCAGTAACTACTGATTTCTAACCCTGACTAATTAGTAATGCAATTCATAAGAGTAACTTTAAATTCTAGTAAATTAACTCATAACTAACAGACAACGCAGCTGAATATTTCCCTTTCTTTTTAGACTAAACAGTTAGATAATATCATATATGCCCACATTATATCTGTGTTCTACAGAGTACTATACTGCTCGGAATGCGACTCCTAAGTGTGTTTAGATATACAAATTTCTGACTTTCAGAGATATCTTTCTGTATCTCAAAACTCAAGTGGAGTACGGACTAGGCCGACGAGAAATGTATCCCGCTGCTACTTTTGAAATACTAAAACGGTAAGTCGATGAAAGAGATTATCACCGATGTACTATGACAACCAACCATCTCTAGTTATGAGCATCTTTACAGGTTACCGCCGGAAAAAGAAGATGGATAAAAATTGACACTGTTGAAACTAAATAGTTATATAATCTCGGAAAGACTGCTGTTCCTTTTGAGGCAGATGCTTGTACTCAATTTGTGTGCTTCTCTGAGCATGCATACATCTAAGTTTTAAAGGAATTAGGAGCTTTTCGAATGGAACGTTTTCGACAACAACGGGAAGGTGAAGATTTGAAAGCTAAGCAGGACAACACAGTTTTTCACTCATTGAAAACGAGACATCATCTCTAGTCTACTGAGGAAAAATCAACGAAGTCAGGCGGTCTAACAAGCCATATTGGTATGATAGATAAAAATACGCGAGCACAAACTGTCATCGCACATTGTAATCATTCAAAGCGAACCATCAGCATTAGAAAATTTTTAAAAAAGTAATTAGGATGTGGGAAGAGACAATAAATAAGCATAAACAAATAATCAGCCTAGAAGTAAGAAGCCGTTTACATTTAGGTACGCAATTAAAGGGGTTACAGCGAAAAAGAATGTTCCATAGACCCATTCACCAGTAACTTGACTAGACAAAACAATCCGATGAGCATTTCAAATGATTGCCAAATACTCCACACTGGAATAACAGTCAATCTTAGTATAAGTAGGAGACTGAAATAGGATTTCCGACTGGCTGACAAAACCTCGCCAGCAAAACTAGTTTACTAGTTACTAGCCGGTTCTAAGCCCGGATAAAGAGGGAGGGTTGGGCATACGTCTAGCAACCCTACCTCGTAAAACCAATCCAACCACTAAAGAAACTCCAAAGCACAGAGTAAATACAAGACATAAACCTATTCCTCGCTGGAATCGGGGAGATGAAATGACGCCAGTTACTGAAAGCCTTTTTCGGGAAGCCAATTGACCAATGTGTCTTCCTCTCTCTCTCCCTCGATGAAACCTAAAGTAAACATACGGACATGGAATACCCGCACCATGTTTGAACCTAGCAAAGCTTCCCAGGTTGAAAAGGAAATGAGAAGGTATCGCATTGAAGTGTTAGGAATTTGCGAAAGCAGATAGAATGGAAGTGGACTCTCCAAACTGTCAACTGCAGAGCCAATAATCCACTCTGATATTGTCACCCAGACAACAATTACGAGCACATTGAGTTTTGGAGTGGCTATCATGATGTCCCCAACAGCATCGAAGGCTCTCAGGCAATGGGGACCAATCTCCTCCAGCATCAGGATCATGACAGCAAGATTCAACTCGAAATGAAGAAAAGTCACAATCATAAAATGCTACGCTACGCACCTACAAATAATGCAGATGAAGAGAAGAAGGAGAAATTCTACAGACAACTGCAATCAATAACGGACAAGACTCCACCCCAGATGACGACATCAAAATTCTAATGGGTGGGGTGACATGAATGCCAAACTGGGAGTGGACAACACAGGAAGAGAACTCATCAGGAGTCGAGAGGCACTCGGTGAAATGATGAGTGAGAATGGAGAACTGTTTTTGCAGATTTCTGCGCATTCAACGATTTGGTGATTGGAGGCGAGTTAGCGTATACAAGCACAAGGATATCCACAAAGCGACATGGATTTCACCAGACACCAGGTGGACACACTAAAAATCAGATCGACTTCATCTCAATCTGAAGAAAGTGGAGACGCAGCCTACTGGACACAAGATCATATCAAGAAGAGGAGCAGATGTAGTTTCACACCACTCACAATCTAGTGCAAGGAACTTTCCTTCAAAACCAAGTTGAAAGCCTTCAAAGTAGTTGGTGATAGACCACAGTTCGAGTTCAACTCAACACCCAGGATAGTCATTATTATCAACATAGGACCAGGCATTACTGCGTAACGGTCCGAGTTGCCACACCTCATATCAGCACATCAAGTAAAAAGGTAGTGAGGTGAAGGATGAAGATAAGTGAATGCAGTCAAAAGAAATATAAAGTACGAGAAGAAAGGAAAGAGGAGTGACAAAATAGTGAGATTCGGTATAGCGTTGTTAAGATGAGGATAATGTGTGTATACATCTGCGCCACTGACTTCGGTTCTGAGCCATATCACCTAGGGTCTCCAACCACTGGTTCCTCTTGTCCCGTGGACCCCAACCACCTAGTCTGCATCGTCCTACATGGCTTAAACCAACAGTCAGAGACTTCATACATTGGTGCCATGTTTTAGTCTGGCCACCTCGGGCCTTTTTCCAGCCTGAACCCACCTCAGCCAACATTGTGTGACGAGGCAATCGGTGACTAGGCATACGTAGTACGTGTCCCAACCATCTCAGTCGATGAAGGTTCACAACCTCGTCGACTGACTTACCTCTTCTCCCTAAAACTCTACACCTAACTTCTGCATTACTCACATGGTGACACCACGGAATACGTCCTATACTACGAAGGCAACGGTGGTCAAATACCTGTAACCTTCTCATGTCTTCCACTTTCAATGGCCATGTTTCACAGCCATACAGTAGAACAGAGCGGACTGCTGTGCAGTACACGCGACCCTTAATAGACAAACGAATATCACGGCGGCGCCATAGGTGGCGCAAATTGGCAAAAGCCAATCGAGCCTTTTGTATCCGTGCAGAAATCTCATCGGCAACTAACCCACCGGGTTGATCCTACTTCCCAGGTAAGTGAAGTGGTCAACACACTCAACCACTTCACTCTCTATTGTTAACCGCGGTACCGCTGAAGACCAGTCCTGGAGCAAAAATTTGCATTTGGGTGGTGAAAATCGCATCCCAAACATTCTCAAATTCCCACTCAAAGTGTTCAGAAGACTCTGCATCTTGTCAGCGTCTTCACCTAACAGGACTATGTCATCTGCATATTCTAGATCTAAGGAAAATTCACCTGTGATCCGGTCAACGTCTTTGTAATTAGGTGACGAGAGGGAAACCTCCATAAGAATATCTATGATAAAATTAAATAAGAATGGGGATAGTGGGCATCCTTGACGGACACCACTTGATGAGTATAGCTCCCTGGACAACTCACCATAGGCTCTAACATGCCCACAAGTGTTCGAGTAGAGAGCTTTCAATAAGGTGATGTACTTACTAGGCACGCCTTTCAGTGACAGACACTGCCATAAGACTTCTCGATCAACGGAGTCAAATGCCGCCTTCAGGTCGAGAAATACAGCTATTGTCGGGCGTCTGTAAGCATGCCTATGTTCCAGGACCTGGCGCAGTGTGAATATTTGGTCGATACATCCACGGCCAGGTCTAAAGCCTGCCTGGTTTTCTCGGGCTTGCTGTTCCCGAGCTCCACTCAGGCGTCGGAGAATTATAGAACTTAGGATCTTAGACACTATGTTTGTCAGGCTGATTCCTCTGTGGTTATCACAAGAGGACTTCTCGCCTTTCTTGAAGACTGGGATGATCAGTGACTTAGACCAGTCGGAGGGGATCGTATTTGATTCCCATATACTGGCTAACACTTCCGTTAGCCTGACTAAGAGAACTCTACCACCATTCTTGTATACCTCAGCAGGTAGTCCGTCTGGTCCTGCTGCCCTTCCCGTTTCAGGCTACCTACCGCTTTCTCAACTTCTTCTAGTGTTGGGGGACCTGTCTCTATGTCCCATTCAGGGTCCGACTGGATAGCGGGCAGCGCAATGGTGGCTGGAGGCCAGTTAAACTGTTCCTCAAAGTGTTCTGCCCATCGTCCCAGTCGCCTTCCCTGCGAGTGAATCGCCGATCCGTCCTTCTCCGCTATAACCTCACTAACTGTTGTTGACCATTTCCCCCCAGTCTCCTTAATAAGTCTAAATAACTGTCTACTGTTACCGATCGCCGCTGCCTTTTCCATCTCTTTAGCCTTTGCTGCCCACCACTGTTCACGATCGTTGCGCAGACTTTTCGTCAGTTTATTTTTAAGTTGCGCTCGCTCTTCATTGTACTCAGAGCCTGCAGGGATGCATTCACGTGCATCCATTAGTTTGGAAGAAGCTGCTGATATCCACTGGCTCTTTTTAGCCATTATCTTGGAGTCGGCTACAGTCTCCAGTGCTGCTTTTACAGTAGACTGAAGATGGCACCAAGCTTCTTCTGGATGAGTGACAGTCTTTTGTTCCGATAACTGCCTAGCCAACTTCTCACTGAACACGGCTTTGGTGTTTTCGTTGTCCAGCAGAACTCGTAGTGGTTTTGTTGCCAAATTTTTTCTACGTCCATTGAGACGCAGGCATATACGTGCTCGGACCAACGCATGATCGCTGTCCAAACACGTACTCCAGAAGGAGCGGCAGTCTTCCACCGATCCTCTCCAGCGATGACTAATAGCAATGTGGTCTATCTGTGTCCATCGCTGAGTCGAGCTCGGTGGACGCCAGGTCAGACAGTGCCTTTCTTTATGTCTGAAATTTGTGCTGGCTAAAAATAGGCGGTTATCTGAGCATAGTTGTAATAGGCGATCACCGTTATCTGTACGTTCAGCTGGGATTCCGAAAGTGCCACCTAAGTGCCTTTCTGCCTCACTCAGTCTACCCACCTGTGCGTTGAGGTCACCTGCAACAACCACTACGTCCGAACGTTTGGCTTTCGAGAGGAGGTTAGACAGTTTATGGTAGAACTCGTCCTTCACTTCATCCGAACTACAGTCAGTGGGTGCGTAAGCAGAGATTACAAAGAGACAACGGCGAGTCTCACTATTCCTTTTAGTTCTCACTGTGCCGTTCAGCCTCATAGCGCAGAGGCGACTATCAACTGGGATCCAGTCTAGTAGTGAGTTTTCTGCCCTGGTGCTTAATGCTATACCTACACCTGCAAGACCACGAGAGCTAGCTATCGAATCTCCAGAAACTCGAAGGGTGAATTTTGCAGATTCACCAGATTGGTCAGGAGAGGTCAGGTGAATAACCACACTTGGGTCCTGTATGCGTGTCTCACAAACACAGCACACATCCATGCCCGAGTTGCTAGAGTCTTTGCCAACGAAGCCTGTTGGCCAATTTGACGGAGGGTGCGGACATTGAAGGCTCCAATATGTAATTTGGAGCGTGGTTTAAGGAGACCAGGGATGCTGTTCTGTGGACTCAGATCGTTGTCGAAGGCTGCAGAGGTAGGAGAAATTGAAGATGATGCAGCATCATTAATTAAGAGACGTGAAGGAAGATTAGAAGGTAATGATGGAGGAGGAGGATAGCAGTCAGAAGAAACTTGGGTGCTGACAGAGTTGTGAGGGCGGTTGACACTTCCCGGCTGCCCACACCGTGGAAGGCTATTTCTTCTTAAGGTACCTGAAAGAGATTTGTGTGACCGCAGAGCCCATCGGACATCTGCTTGAGGCCTGTCACACCCAGCCTTTTGAGTATGATTATTTTGAATTTTTGTTTTTTTGGGGCCGGATGGTCGAAAGGAAACGACAAGTGAACCAACACCGCCGGCCCGGCAGACCGTGGGGCGTGGTGGAGTGTGTTATTTTTGGGGCCGACCTTTTCTAACCCCCCCTTCCACTGAGAAGGCAGCATCAGCTTGGCACTGCTGGTCATCCAAGGGAAACACCTTACTGCTGTCACACCCCATCCAGCTAGCAGCAGTACGACTTCGCCCTCAGACCCCCATCATAGTGTAGCAATTTACACTATGACGGTAACTGCTTTTCGTCTAACCACTACCCAACAGACCTTTCTGGTATGGTAGGACCTCGAGGGAACAAGCGTTCCACCAGCATAGCTCGTTGGGTCATTGTGATATGCAAGCCCGACCACCACGTCAAGGTAGCAGCTATCGGTCGGGACTCAGGATAGAAACTGAACTGAAGGACGAGACTACAAATGAAGTCTTCACGGCAGCCACTGAGACAAAATGCGAGAGATCGAGCAACATAGTGAGCAATCCTTATAAATAGCTACTTCAATTAATTTCTGTGAGAAATACTCACTTTCCATTTAGCTACTTTGCTTTAGATACAGTTAATAATGCCATGATTTCTTATTCAGACTTTCTTGCTGAAGACTCCTTAAAAGATATGAAATATTAAGAAAACATGTTACTCCTAGCTGATGTCAATAACAATACAAACAGTAATCTGAAAACTTTCACTTACAGTCTGAGATTATTTGAAGCGGGCTTTTCAACCCTCCAATACAAACTGTTGATCCAAAATTAGTCAATCAGTGGTACAGTCGTCGATTAAGTTGACTACTTCACATACATAACCAACTGTACCACCATCAGCGCGTTAGCGTCTAATGGGATCTCAGCAAGGATACAAAATTTTAGACATTCCATCTAACCGCATCACTTGTAACTTTAACGTGAAATCTGAGTGCCCATTACGAGTCGAGACTACTGAGCAACAGAGTGCCATGTTGATAGGAAGCGGCCTAAATGGTAATCAACACTTTAAGTCATCAGCCGCTAGGGTAAAAGTTTTAGATTTCAACTTTCGTTTCATGTTAACTATGTGGTCAGGAAAAACCTTATTGGACAATTTCGTCATACAGTTGACGAATCAAAATAAGTATCCAACTTTTGACCTAGTGGTTTTATATGTTCATAAAACTGTATATAAATGTTGTTTTTGTTGAATAAAGTGTGCTCCTTATGGTCACAGACAGGTCTTTGTCTTCTGATCTTCGCCCGTCAGTGAGGTATAAGGGGGTTCTGAAGCAAAATAGTCCCTATTCGTATCCAGTCCAAGTATCCCATCGCGTTATTATTGTTAGCACGATTTATTATTATTCACTCAGAAACTTCATTATGTCTTACCATTTGATTGTAAAAAGTAGCCAGTAGAGGTGAATGGTTTGAAATCTTTGTATTTACCACCATCACTTTAGTGGGATTTCTCACTTGCGTTAGTACCATCATATTAGCTAATAGGAAATCAAGTATAGAGCATTCGACAAAAAAGGTAGACCTAGTAGATGAGATTTTGAAGCTTGTTTAGTTCGGTTGATAGGAATGCCTAAAGCAGATCAAGCTTCCGTCTTTATTGCTAAGCTGTGGTAAACGGGGTAAGATTAGATCGAAGAAAAGTTAAAGGCAGTAAAAAGATGAAGCTATTAATTATTCTGAGCTACTAGAAGTGTAGACTTTTTAACTAGGATATGAGACACAACCAAAATGAACATTTAGAGAATTGAGTCAAAATGAGACGAAATCGAACATACTTTTGTGGACGCACCCATATATCTTCATCTAAATATTAAAAACCTTGTTATTTCTTTTTAATCATGTTATATCCTTCTCTTCTGATATCATTCTGACTTGTTTGCCTTTCTTCCATTTTTTCATTTTAGTTGATTTATAAGATATATCACACAGCGGAGCAGTATCACTTACCGGATTACGTTTCGGACACTCGTCCATAATCATATCAAGATACCCCCACAACTTAGAGACACGGTTTAAAGTAATAGAGTAAATAATACTGTTTCACTGTGTGATACATCTAATAAATCAACTAAAATGGAATTACATTCTACTACAGTGTCCATGTTTTATGTTAATGCCTTTCTTTTTGTTGATTGTAAGGACAGATTATGCTGACACTCAATATGCCAGACCCTACGACATTTCTGTTTCCCTACCATGCATGTAATCATCAGTGAGACAGGTAAATAATAATTACATAATTTCATGTACTTACTTGTTTCCACCTCCAAATTCAAGTCATCTTTTAGTAGTATACTTTCAGGTATAACTTTGGATATAAAATCTTCCATCCTCTAAATGAAAAAAGTTATTGATGAAACTCTTAAATATAAAACGCAGTACATTCAAAGGAAAATAAACGTGGAACTGGTGGAGAGAATATATAACTTTAACTCCCAGTCAAATGCAGCCTTTAGGTCGAGAAATATGGCAGGTGTTGATCACTGACCAGTAAGTATGTCTGTGGTCCAGAACCTGCAGGAGGCTAAAAATATAATCGATGCACCCTTGTCCAGGTCGGCCTAAAACCTGCCTGGGTTTCTCGAGTTTGCAATTCTCGAGCCCCGGTTAGTCATCGGATGACTATGGATCCTAGGATCTTGGGCATAATATTAGTCAAACTAATTCTCCTATAGTTGTTACAAGAAGGCTTCTCGCCCTTTTTATACACTGGGATGATCAGCGAAGTAGACCAGTCTGACGATACTACCTCTGATCCCCATACACCACCAGGTACCTCCTTCCCTTTAACCAGGAATTTCTTACCTCCATCTTTGAAACCTCCAGGTGGCAAACAGTCATGTCTTGCTGCTTTCTATCGTCTCAGGTTCGATGCAGCTTTCTCAACTTCAAAGAAAGTTGAAGGATCGACATCTACGTCCCATTCAGGTTCAGGCTGAATGCTAGGCAACTGAAGAGCTGCAAATTAGATGATTAGGTTATCCAGTGGCTCACCCGGTAGCTTACTAACTATATACGAGTCAATGAAATAAGCTGTATGTAAACCTGCGACGTTGATTAGCTTCACAATATGAAGTAAAAGAATTGAGATTGAAAGCTGTTATTCAACGACTGAGAGAGAATTTCTAGACAAATGCTATATATGATTATTTAACCGCTATTCTACAGATGTAATTTTACGAAACTCGAAGAAAATGCTGCTCACTAATCTACATACATGATGATAGTAGTCAAAAGAAAGAGTAAGTTAGTAATAATTTAAATCTGCTTCTTTAACCACTGCTCTAGCTTGTATACAATATTTGAAGTATACTCAACCCTGATGATCCAGAAGAAAAAAGCGATGACTGAAAATGGACAGTGGACAGAAAGAAGCACAAAAAACAGTAACTGCGCCTGTACAGCTTGGAGAAGGAAATCGTTGAAAAAGCATATTTCCTGAACTATTAATTCTTCTAGAATACCCTGAAGGGTATTTCTCATACATTGATAAATAATGAAGCAATCAGCAAGTTCATGATTGCCAACAGCTAACAAGAAGAACACTTTGTTTTGATCCGTGATGCTCACTTCGAAGTTACCTTAGAAACATCGATATCATAGGTTATCTCTGATACATATCATAATATTCTCTCCATCAGATACGACACAAATAGTGACGCAGACTCAATGATTTTCAGCCTCACATGTGAGCAGTGGGAACCGACTATTCATGAAAAATGCTGGTGAAACTGTTCAATGTTGGAGCTTTCCGAACAGTTCTGCCAACTGACAACTGAACCCGCTTGAATAGAACACCGGTGAACTGATTTTCAAACAAGTGATGATCGTCTTTAAGTGTAGTATAGTGTCAAATTAGAAACACTTAGAATATCATTTTATATACCTGCGTCGAAAACCAATTCATGCAAAAAACAAGTTTATGACAAGTAAAAATGAAATTTGACATAATGACCTTTCATACATCACAATAACATTTGAGGTCAAACATGTTTTTGGATGGATATGTTCAAGTGATTTTCTACTCTGTTCGTGCACACATGCTTTTGATTTCGCATTTATCATGACCTTTTGCAATTCAAGAATGTATTGAATTTCAGTCAAGTTAGTACCGTTTCATTATCAACACAAGCTAGTATATGAAGCAGCAAGACAGGCGTTCATTAGCCTGAAACCAGTGTAGAGATTTTCTGCACTCAGCATATGGAGCAAGATCCGGATTTTCAACACTAATTCAGTCAAGTCAGTGCTTCTGTATGGCTCACAGACTTGACGCGTTACGAAAGGGATTTCCAACAAACTATAGACATTCATCAAAAACTGCCTACGCTGGCTCGTTACTGAAGATCAGATGACCAGAATAATGAGAATAAGCAACAAGGAACTCTGGTTCTGGGCAACGAACCAACCAACCAAGAACCTATCGCCCAACAAATATGCAGAAGGAAGTGGAGATGGATTGACTTGGGCATACACTGAGAAGGCCGACTGGGACATCGCGCGCCAGAGCGTGGCCCTTGAGTGGAACCCAAGGGGTAATCGACGAGTTGGGCGTCCGAGGCGAGGGTGACATGGAGTAGATCGTGTGAGGAGGAAATGAGAGTTTGTGGGCTGTCGTGGAGCCAGGTTCAAACGATTTCAGAGAACAGAGTGGAATGGAGACGTGCTACCGAGGCCCTATATTCCACTAGGAACCCAAGGGATAAATAATAATAATAGTATATGCAGCAGCAGTAATTTGTTCAGAAACGCAACAATTCATCGAAACTAGCCACTAACTAACTATTCTGCTGAAGAAGCTGTGGCCTACATAGCGAAACGTTCAGAAATATCTTGTTTTGATTTTCTAAACACACTGGGATTAGTGTTATTGCTTGTATGACACCGTCGTTGATTAGGTCGAATCGATCAGTCTCTGTTGGCATATGGGCTCCTGTGCGGATGCCTCGATATTGCCTGTGTTTCGATTATGTACAGTAATGATGGGCAGTGGCTGGCAGTGGAATCCAGAATGCGCATTTCGTCCTATTTGGGACTCGTCAACCACCTATCATTACTATACATTATTAAAACACAGGCAACATCAAGACATCCGCACAGGAGCCCATATGCCACAACAGAGACTGATCAATTCGGTCCAATTAACGGCGGTGTAATACAGGCAATAACGCTAAAACTGTACCCGTCTCACAAGAAGTGGCTATTGTGGCTCGGTGGTGTAGTGGATAACGCTCTAGCGTTTGGAGCGATCACTCCCGGGTCCGAGTCCCGGTGGGAACAACACTCACTGGGAGGCAGGTACATTCAGCTAACGAATGGGCATCCTGGATTCCACTTATGGCCACTGCCCATCATTACTATACACTAGGATTATATTAAAATATGTTCTCATACTAACCATGCTTGATTATCATCTTTTGTGTGATCTGTTTGGAGGTAGCTTCCATCCTGGATTCCTTCACAAACACACCCTTGGTTCCATAAGAGATCGAACTTCGGAATTTCAATTCCCTAGCGAATAGGTGATCATTCAACTATCGGGCTGGAATTCACAGGATATTTGACCTATGAGGTCCAAAATTATATCGCATCTCTACCGGTATAAGATGATGCTGGGTTACACATAGCAAGTCTATCAGAGGTAGAAGTAGCGGCCAGAGGAAAATTTAATGGTCTCAAAAAATGAAGGTGAACAGTATGTTGTTGAAGTTGCCCTCCTTCATACCTTTTTACGCAGCATTTCCCGTCATGACGCTAGCAGGAGATAGTTAAAATGGTTCCACTGAAACTTAGTGATCAAGATGTTATTAGTAAATGTTATATACTGGTCATCATCATAATCATAATCAACATAGGACCAGGCATTACTGCGTAACGGTCCGAGTTGCCACACCTCATATCAGCACATCAAGTAAAAAGGTAGTGAGGTGAAGGATGAAGATAAGTGAATGCAGTCAAAAGAAATATAAAGTACGAGAAGAAAGGAAAGAGGAGTGACAAAATAGTGAGATTCGGTATAGCGTTGTTAAGATGAGGATAATGTGTGTATACATCTGCGCCACTGACTTCGGTTCTGAGCCATATCACCTAGGGTCTCCAACCACTGGTTCCTCTTGTCCCGTGGACCCCAACCACCTAGTCTGCATCGTCCTACATGGCTTAAACCAACAGTCAGAGACTTCATACATTGGTGCCATGTTTTAGTCTGGCCACCTCGGGCCTTTTTCCAGCCTGAACCCACCTCAGCCAACATTGTGTGACGAGGCAATCGGTGACTAGGCATACGTAGTACGTGTCCCAACCATCTCAGTCGATGAAGGTTCACAACCTCGTCGACTGACTTACCTCTTCTCCCTAAAACTCTACACCTAACTTCTGCATTACTCACATGGTGACACCACGGAATACGTCCTATACTACGAAGGCAACGGTGGTCAAATACCTGTAACCTTTTTGTGTCTTCCACTTTCAATGGCCATGTTTCACAGCCATACAGTAGAACAGAGCGGACTGCTGTGCAGTACACGCGACCCTTAATAGACAAACGAATATCACGGCGGCGCCATAGGTGGCGCAAATTGGCAAAAGCCAATCGAGCCTTTTGTATCCGTGCAGAAATCTCATCGGCAACTAACCCACCGGAGTTGATCCTACTTCCCAGGTAAGTGAAGTGGTCAACACACTCAACCACTTCACTCTCTATTGTTAACCGCGGTACCGCTGAAGACCAGTCCTGGAGCAAAAATTTGCATTTGGGTGGTGAAAATCGCATCCCAAACATTCTCAAATTCCCACTCAAAGTGTTCAGAAGACTCTGCATCTTGTCAGCGTCTTCACCTAACAGGACTATGTCATCTGCATATTCTAGATCTAAGGAAAATTCACCTGTGATCCGGTCAACGTCTTTGTAATTAGGTGACGAGAGGGAAACCTCCATAAGAATATCTATGATAAAATTAAATAAGAATGGGGATAGTGGGCATCCTTGACGGACACCACTTGATGAGTATAGCTCCCTGGACAACTCACCATAGGCTCTAACATGCCCACAAGTGTTCGAGTAGAGAGCTTTCAATAAGGTGATGTACTTACTAGGCACGCCTTTCAGTGACAGACACTGCCATAAGACTTCTCGATCAACGGAGTCAAATGCCGCCTTCAGGTCGAGAAATACAGCTATTGTCGGGCGTCTGTAAGCATGCCTATGTTCCAGGACCTGGCGCAGTGTGAATATTTGGTCGATACATCCACGGCCAGGTCTAAAGCCTGCCTGGTTTTCTCGGGCTTGCTGTTCCCGAGCTCCACTCAGGCGTCGGAGAATTATAGAACTTAG